CACTGGGATTAGGTATGGAGGTCATGTCGAAGAACTTGTGCTTCTAGATGCGGTCCGGATATGGACACGGGAAGCGAAAAGGGAGTACCAACTTGACGTTTAGCCCTGGAAAAGGGAGGACGGGCGATGCAGTGTGCTATGCCTGAAGCTCATTGGGCTGCCCTGATGGACTCCGGATCACCGTTCCTGTCATCGTTGTGGAGTCAGTCATCGACCTATGACTCGTTACGTAACTTATCTTGAGCAAGTCCTGATGTCAGTATACTTGTCTAGTGGACGGTCTTACTGTGCCTAGCGAGATCAGAGCAGTAAAGTGATGACTGCTATGTGGCGTGGTTTATGCACTTACCGGATTCGGATTCCTGGCAATAGCTTCTTCTCCTATGAACTCGATAGGAGAGCAGAGTCGTTTGTCGACGCGTACTTCGTACCTGGGCCCCACCATGTGGTGTCCACTTCGGAAATTGCTACTCCATGTAAGGTGAATCAGCATCGGATAACTGGTATAACGAATAGGGCAACCACGACGAGTTACCTAGTAGAACTTTGGAGGTTTTCAATGACAGCCCAAATCCCAAATGCATTGAGTAATTTCAGGGCATTTGATCATCTCCAGCGCGGCGATAGCCGCCCCTGAAACCATACAGACAAACCAATGGTAAGTTAGCCCATGCCGTTGTTTGACACGCTCGAAAAATGCCCCAGGCTTAGTACACCTAGTCGAAGCTTCTTACCTGTGTAGTACTTAGTACTAAGTAGTAGCTAGGGCCAGGGCCCTCTCATCGGAGGCCCGGGCTAATGGCTTTTCCGATCGATCGGTTTATGACATCCACTTTAGCAAGTTAGGCTAGGGGTTCGCCGGCTGGTTCGTCTCCAGTGTCCACCCCAATTCTCAGCGGCAGGGGCTAAATTGTGATAATCAAGTGGAGTCTTGCCGAAAGAAGCCAAGGCCCAAAAACCCTTCCGCTCTAAACGCATTTGTTTAGGTCTGGGCTTTCGTACACTACTGACAGGTTCTGTACGGAATAGCACGAAGTCGGAGGTTCCAACACTCCGAGAGCCCGTTGCAACGACTGTGGCAGATGGAAAATCACTTCTCGCTTGTTGAACTCATCAAGATTGATAAGCTCTTAAAGTACTCCGTACTGTATCAGGACTTTTCGGTGGACAACGTGGGCCGTACAGTACTTTCGTCTGCTGCTGTCGATCATCATATTTCAAGATTCAATGATCGGCTCGGCCAGCTTAGTCAGTAAAAAAACCGGCCGTTAGTTAAGTTATGTTACCCGTCTCGGATCCACGCGATGTACAGTATATCAATATCCGTAGCGAAAAAGCCTTTTGTATCGTCGGCACCATGCGGATGAAGCTACTCTGTAGCGCTGCTCGTGGGGGGCAATAGTCACTGGTCTCGTCTGTTCCAATTTGACATCCAGATGTCCCCTTAGAGGTGTGCTGAGCACGAGCTCCACCCACGTTGTTGGTTGGATGTGGTGGAAACAAACTGTTGGACTGTGCTGAGTGGACCGAGTGGGGGAAAGGAAGAGGCCCTAGGTAAGGTACGACTCCGTCCACCGCGACATCCTGTTATGACGCCGGATTCAGTAAAATCCTCCATCGGTTTGTGCTACCAACAGTGACGTCAACTTTACTGCTGCTGCTGCGGCTGCTGCTGCTACTACTACTACTACTACTACTACTACTACTACTTGTGCTGCCTGTGAACGGTATGCGACAGACTTTGTATGAGGTCGCCTGGATGCCTAATAAATCGTGCTATCAGTTAATGTTCGGTCAATGACTGCCTCGGTGCTCGCACTTTAGGTATCTAGGCTGAGGTAGGTAGAGGAATAGTATAAGGAAAAGCGACCAACCAGACCATTTTTACCGCCATGCGGCCCGTCCGAAATAAGCGCCAGATATGCGGTTGGATGCAATGTGATTCAACGGTTGGTGTCATGATTGACCGACAATCCCCATGTTTTGAGCCACGTTTTGGATCCTAGTCGGCTTGTCCACATGTTTTTCTTGTATTTGCAACATGGCGGTAAGGATTTGCACCCGACAAGCCCGACTATGTCGGTGAGTGAAAGGTACTGGTACAGCCTGTGCACCATCAGTTAGCGGCTTGGTGACTCGACCGGAAAACGCCCCAAAAAAGCCCTGCCGCCGCCATAGGTATCGGCACGGTTCGCAAGGATGCTAGCAATGTTAATGCATAGCGCATAGCACGTATAACCCATCATCTTCCAGACTAGTGTAAAGCCTGTCCTGTGACTCGTAGAGAGTTCGACGGCTCCTGACTGATCGTCGGTCCTTGCAGAAGCCATGCACCCCAAGACATCTCGGAGATATTCGCGATCTTGGATGGCCCCCGATAGTCGTCAGAGGGGCCCTGCCGTTCCATTCTTGTTATAGGTTTACTATAGAACTTCCTTGATTTCCAGAGTGCGCACTCGCAGGAGGATGAAACGGCACTAGGGCTAGAATAAAGAAGCATCGAAGTAGGAGGTTATGAAACAGACAAAGATGTACAGGCTTGTTGTAATAGGGCGACACCAAAATGACGGAACCAAAGCAGAAGATTGCTGTTATTCTTAGATGGCAACTGCCGGATTTAGAAGGACCTCTTTCACGCTGCGCTCGGTACCATCTCCAGACTCAACTGGAGGACACTCGCCTGGTATGATGGAGTAAGTACTGGACGTATCTTGAGAGCTGTGTAGGGCTTGGAACAACATGTGGAGACTCGTCTGGTCGCATCGAACATATTGCCAAGGCCCTAAGCCTATTTCGATGTGTCATAAATGTTACCTACCGTCTTTCAGCTGCACCAGGAAACGGATGGAAATGGGGTAGGGGCAAGGAAAGTTGGAAGCAGGGAGAGGGCAGGGTGGCGGGGAAGAGCAGCCTTCGTGGCCGGCGGTGTTTGCTACCGGACTTGGAAAAGCGTGCCTTCTAGTGTCAACTTTGTAGACTTCCAGAAGCCCTTGGAACGCGTAGGAGAGTTTGGAACTATGAAGGTTTGTGTTAATCTTCACCATGAGCCAAGCAATCCTTGCGCCAATCCCTCTCATATCTATCTACCCGAGGGCGATTCGGAGGCCCAGCTTGCAGATGACCCTACCTAAACCGGAAAGGGAGATCAAAGACATCCGAGGAAGGACGAAGTCATAGCGGCCGATTGAAATCTCTACCATACAGAAAAAAAAGTCGTCCACTCAACTTGCATAACACAATGCTCGGGAGCACTTCCTTGCGCAAAGTTTCTAGGCAAGGTCTCTCTCTGTCTTAATTGCTCACGCCTTCACTCACACGGTATGTGGTAGTGCATGCAACAAACCGACCCCTGATCGACGACAGCCGATAAGATGACACGCTGCTGTTGCTGCTGTTCAGGCTTTCCCCCTTGTTGACTGGGAACAAGGAATTAAGAAACTCTCATCAACTAGGGAACGTCCTTGCCAATGTTCCTGCGCCCGAGAAGGGTCAGGTTTCTCGAAGACGGGCTGTGGACAAAGAACTCTGCCCCGAGCGAATCTGGGTCCCTGGGCGAGTCTGGGTTCCTGCGCAAGCCATTGAGGCATCGTCAGAGGGCCATCGAACCTAGTTTCAGCCCACGGTGCGGGATAGTCGTCGATCATGTTAGCAAGTTATTCCTTGGCGGTGTTGAATCCATCTGGTGCTGAAGCCAGTACCGTAGAATATCTCCGACCAAGTCATGGGATGGACAAGGAGAGTATAGTAATGTTGCGGATGAAAGCGGGGATTGCCCAGTTGGGATCGATGATCTATGGTTGCAGCCGATCCTAATCCAGGCACTAGGCTTGATTTTGCTTGCAATTGCATGCACCTGGGCACTGTTGATGTAGTAACAGCCACCTGGGCGGCCAGCCCTCTGCAGCATGCTACACCTCCATGGTTGTGTTACTGTCTTTGACCATGTTGTTGGTACGACAACGCAGCCAGTAATGAGCTGAGAGGCTGAAGACTCCAGATTGCCCCAGAGCCGTGTTGGGACAGGGGGTTGATACGAATGAAGAGCCCGCCACTGTTCATCGGTATTTTTGTGGTCTGGAGAGACGAGCCCAAGGCAGCGACACGTGACCGAACCGTATCCGACTGACAGGAAAGGGCCAGGCCAAGCGAAGGCAAGTGTGAGTTGGCTCGGGAACCATAAGATGAACAAGCAATCGCCGGATTCCCCATTGTGCCAAGCTGCAATCAATTCATGCAGCGTGCAGTCCCAATTGTCTTGTCAAAAAAGCCATCAGCAGACTAGTGAAATTGCAAGCAGCTTCTTGCGCACTACAGGACTGCTGTCACGTCACTACCCATACTTGGTATACTTGAATCCTCTGGCAGGTAGTCACGGTGTATGATTCAGGCTTTTCTATCGAGAGGTCTTCGAAACCTCTTGAGATGTAGCATTCTGATATAGATAAGTACTAGGTAGTGAACGAGCTGAGCTCACCAATTCATGATCATTAGGAACGGCTGCCTACCTCACCACCCACTCAATCGACTAGGCCCAGCCTACGACACGAACTCGCGCCAGAGAAGTCGCATTTGCTTGCAAGCGAATATGGTATGAGGACTTAATACTAGGTATTTCACTCGCTGGTAGTAGTCAAATAATGTACTGTACGTACTCGTAAGTAACGGGGAAAAGTGGGTCGGCGGGCGGACATTACATTTCCCGATCCCGATGCAGCCTTGATGCGGAGACCAGTGCCCGGGCGGCCGAGCTGGAGGAGGCGTTTCCCAGTTACCCACTGCACTCACTACCTTACCTAGACCCTTTCAATACATGACGCTAGTGTGGTCCAGTCACCCGTGGTCAACTGAAGCCAATGCCTAGTCTCCGGCTAATACAGCCCCTCCAATAGCTCCGCCAATTGGTATCTCGTGGCGTAAGGCAGTATCCATGGGTCTTGAGTGTGCCATGTCTGGATGTCAGTTTGGGATGGTAGGTAGGTGGTATTCAGTGAGTATTGTGTTAGATATCATTAGGACGAGGGGCAAGGGAGAGAGTGCGTGTGTGTGTATGTGCTTCAACGGTGATCGATCGTGAAATCCACAACACTGTCCATACACCACTGTCAACTTCACTCGAAGGCTATGAGGTAGACAAGATATTCCAAAATGGCGCGTACAAGGCTTGTAAAAAGGGGTAAAGGGCACCGCTCAGGGCTATTGGCATTGGTATCATATACCCAAGCTTTCCGTCTGGAGACGGTGTAATTTTTGCTCTGTTTGGCCTTGGCACTTTCTTACTGTTCGCACCCGATCCCAACTTACATCCAGCTTTCCCACTGGTCTTCTCCCTATCACTTGACCGACTTACGGATCTCTCTCGGTTGGCTAGATAGGTAGGCCGACAGGCAGTGAGTGACATTTGCATCCAACGGGTCTCCAGGTCTGATTCCAGCAATGTCGTATATACGGTCCAGTCAACACCACCGCAGATGGTTTGCCGGCCTTACACCATGGGCCATTTGGCGTGCTTGGCTGATCTTCCGGTACGGCCGAAAAAGAGCCAAGAGAAAAGGACGATCGACTAGCTGACACGATTGTGTTGGGATCATGATTGAACGGCCAGAGGGCGCTGATTCGTCTTGAGCGGCCTAGGACACATAGGTCCCCTCATCTCTGTACGTCTAGCCCATTTAGTGGACTTGAGGTGCTGGACCTGGTTATAGGAAGCTCGCAGTAAAAAGCTCCGTGTAAGTAGTATGTGCAAATCGGTATGATCTGATGATGGTCGGGAAGCCGGGGACTAGGGGATCCATGGGTGCTGCCTTTTTAGCATCGGGGTCTAGTATCGGTGCGGGCAACGATTTCCACTTGGTATTATGACGCTGAGGAACGGAGAGGGGTCTGGGGAAGCTCCCTGAGTTGTAACGAGCTCCACATCGGACAATCCGAGCCCACTTCCATGGTTGATTCGGGTGGGTTGTGGTCGAGGTTGATCGTCGAGATATCAAAAGACGAGAGATAGATAGAGAATGAAGAAAGGAGGTAGAGACAGAGTGTGAGTGTGTGTGTATGTGTTGGAGGAGAAAGTCCAGACCAAATGGGACGATTTGTGAATGTACAAGAGCATCTTCCTACTAGGCATAGTCTATCAATCTCGGATTGGTAACTTAACTCCGCCGCCTGTCTCCGCCGCTAGTCTCTGTGGTCGCTGCTAAGCTATTAGCATGTTACAAAGAGCAGATATGGATCTCCCTCTGGCCCGATCGATTTGTAGCATCCTATATTGTTTCTTTCCGTCCTCTTTCCTTCTTGCTTGCTGAGTTATGCAGCTGCATAGTAACTATGAAGGGAACAGCTCTCCAGTGTCATGAAGAGTGATCGAGCTACCCACTCGGGCCAGCCTCCAGCGCCACACCTAGCTGGCAGACTGGATCTTTTACCAGATTAGGCCGGCAGCAATGATGACTACTACATACATACATACATACATACATACATACATAGTACATACCTTACTCCACCCGAGTCGATCGTACTAATGGACGACGGGTGGGCCAAGTAGCTTGCCTGGACGTTAGACTGTCACTATCGTCATTGCCTTCTCCAATTTGAATTTCGCATTTGATTTGATCCTCATTTCCGAAAAATTATTGCTCTCCCATTCAAAATTAATTTTCAGCCTAATTCACTACTACAGTAAGTATTGTACGGCCATCGAGCTGGCTGCGACAGTCGATCATCTGTTTAAATCTTTCAGTAATCACAATACATACCATCAGCCAACTTGCCTGGGTTATTTGATTTGACTGATGTCCAGCAGCCGTGGCCCGCCGGTAACAAGCAACAATAGCAAATCCCCAACCGTTCCTGTCAGATGCAGGGCCGCATTTAGTAACCTCCCTGTCTCGGGCAAGATCTCAGAACTCTCAACCCCTCACCTCTACTCCCCTCGCCTTCCCCTCCATCCAGGTGAAGAGGGGACCTAGTTTTGGCACAAAGAGATGACTTAAAGAAGCAATACGAGAGAAGACTGAACCGAAGGTGTGAAGAAGATGGGGACTACCTGGGGTCCCATCCCAAAATAATCATCTGTCTTGCATTCAGGAAGTTAACAATTCTGTGTCTTTCCCCATGAAGAGGGCTAGAAAGAAGTGAATGAAGACAAAGATAATGCATGGCAATCAAGAGAAAAAAAAACAAAAACAAAATAGGACATCAAGCATGCTAATCGATCAAAAATAATATCACATTAGAAATAATAAAAATGGGCAAAGAAATAAAAAAGAAACAGAGAATACCAAGAAAATAAAACCCATCCTGTCAAATTAAAACCAGAATAAATTCAGTTGAGGAAAAGACAGCACACCAATGAGTCGTGCAATCAAATCAAATCCCATGGTGCGAAAACAGGAGGGAAAAGAAATTCCAAAGAAGAGGCATCCATGTCTCTCTCAGTCCCAGCAGACTGGAACAAAGACAGCACTATCCCAGAAGCAAACCCCCGTGCCAACATGGGTTTGGGACAGTGTCGCCGCCAGCACCTTCAAGCAGTCTCAGGGTTTCAGCCGCTGGGGATCCCATGGTTGTCTTCCCCATCTAGATCTTCTACCTTGCGATGTCTATCCCGCTTTAAATCACTTGATATCCACTGATATCCACTTCTCATGACTTCCTCTCTCTTCTTCGTCCCCTCCCCCTCTTCATACAAAGTATCTCTGATCTTCGCTCTGCTCTGGGAGTCACACAGTCTGCACTGACAGCTTGTATAAGTAACTACCCGGTGATCCGCCACCCGTCTCTCGTGGTGCATCAACAACTAGTTGATGGTGAACTAAGATTATCATCGATAATCACTAAGCTCTCACTTGTCCTTCTCTTTCGCATCAACCTTCAACGATTTCTTTCTTGCATCCTTGCAAGAACTTTCTTGATTCTCTTTTTCATTCAACTTGTGTTTCGTCGACTTCTATTGTTGTCTTTGACTGTTCATTCATCTATTCGCTCCTCCCCCTCCTCCCGCCAGTATTCAGTCCATTCAGAACAAGACCACTTGCTTTATTTATTTGATCTCCATTCTTCTTTTCTTCTTCTCCTTCCCCTTCTTCCTTCCTTCAACTCTCTCTCTCTCTCAATCCATCAATCTCCTTAGTGTTCAAGACATTTGATCATTTCCGTCAAACGCGAATGTGTTCGAGACTTGCTCTCAGATGCAGAATCCCTCCCCCCACTGAGTAAACGACTGACTGGTGTCCCTTGCACCTCACTGCGCCTTGCCCACCTATTAGGCATAATCAACATCCACTTTCCCCACAACTCATTCCATCGGAGCAACACAAGCTCACCCTTTCTGAGACCTGAAAAGACGGTCTTGGTCTCATTCTCCTTCCTCCAGCGTCCCCTGCAAGCTCTTCCAATCAACTATCCTGCGTGGGTCCCTGGCGGACTTTGAGCTGGGCTTCCACCCCCTACTCAGTCAAATTCCCATTCCTTGCCTCACATTAAAACCTCATCATGGCTAGCGCTACCAGAGTCATTCGTGGCCAGCCACCCTCGCCGCCCGAATCGACGGATCAGAACACGGTGGCTGATGCTAACCAAGACTTCCATGGTATACTTTCGCCAAATTTCGGACAGCCTGAGCCTTTTTCGGCTGCAGACCTTCATGCAAGCCATGTTCCAAGCGAGGTGAAATACGAGGCAGCATCGTTTGTAAGTTCACAGCTATCTCATTTATACTCGCTGAGTAGGCACTAACCCAGCTTCAGGATTATCTTTCCCCCCCTTCTTCACAATTCGTGTCTAATGACTATCCGCGAAACATATCATTGCATCATCCGGTGGGTCGTCCCTCCGCTTGATAACCCTTTCGTTGATCACTAATGTCTCTTAGATCGACACGCCACCATCCACAGCAGACGACTGCCATGTTCCTGGAAGCCTGAGTTCGGCGCCGCAGTGGTCATCGCCTCAGAGTCAGAGACAGCCCCCTAGACCAAGGGTCGCCAGGCCTCCCAGAATGCGGCGCAAGGGTCGGAAGTTGAAGGACCGAGAGTCCAGACCTCATGTTGACAAGCCGCTGAGCGAGTTGACCAAGCACTTGACACATATCCCAATCAAGGACATGGAAAGTTGGGTGCATCGCTCCATAGAAACTCGGCGCCAGGAAGTCGCGAAGAAAAATGGCAAGATTGCCCGCCCGATGAACTCATTCATGCTCTACCGGTCTGCATTTGCGGAGCGAGCAAAAGAATGGTTCTCGCAGAACAATCACCAGGTGGTCTCTGAAGCTGCCGGTGATAGCTGGAAACTGGAGCCTGCCGAGATTCGTGGGAAGTACGAGCATCTGGCGACTGTTGAGAAGGCCAACCATCTGAAAGCACATCCCGGCTACAAGTTCTCCCCGGCAAAGGATAAGAAGAAACGGGTGGGTGTCGACGATGATGGTAATCTGGCAAATACTCCTGATTCTAGCCCAGCTCTGCTACAAAGCCATGGGATGAGCTCGTCAGAGGTGGAGAGCAGTGGTTGGGGCAGCCGTGACTCTACTCCCTTTGACTTTGCGGAACACGGCTTACCTACAGACTCTATTTTTGTTTCGTCTTCACCTTGGCACGCAAGTCGGGGTTCCATGCCAGGCTACATGCCTTCCTCTGACCCATCTCCGTACCTACTTCACTCGGCACACCCGGGCTACATGTCTCACCATGACGACTTTCGGTTCAAACGGCCGAGTTTCCAGGACATCTCGTACAACTCATCAACTTCTCTGGCAGGACTGCCAGGAGCGTCCCACCATGACCTCCTCCAGCCCGCCAGCTCTGCTTCTACTCCGGGAAGCGGTCAGCTAGACCCCCAGCTTCTGACTCTCCCAAACGAACTTCCAGGTGCCAATCAGATGTATAGCGTCCATCAGCCATTGTGGCCTGATGCATCGACAGTCAACGGTTATGTTCCCATGACAACCTCGATGCCGCCAAGCTCAGTCGCCTATCAGGCGGGCTCAGCCTACTCATCGGCATCGGACATCCAACACCTAGAAGGTCGCGACACATGGGATTCGCCCAATGATGCCAAATTGGAGGGCTCTGGTGGCGACCTCAACTCCTGGATGTCATACTGAGATCCGTGCTCGACGCACCCTAAAGTGTGATAGTTTCGTTATTGTCACGATCTCAAAGGGTTGAGATGTTTTCTGGTCCTGTTTCTCAGCGCGGTGGATATCTGTTTGAAACCAGAGTTGTTGTTCGGAGTTTCGGGGCGCTAATATACATGGTGGCTTGGGACTTGTCTGTTTGTATCTTCGAATTTCTTGCTGATTCTGGGCAAATGCCCTGTCACATTTGGCTGGCGTATTCCGGACTTCTTGGCTTTTGCTTATGGGTGGCAGCCTCGTTTAATCAATGTGTTTTGATACCTTGTAACGGTACATACTTGTGCACCGGTGTTCTTACTTAGGTTAGAATAGTTGGAAATTTACATGACCAGATGTAATTCAAAGTGCTTGATTCAGAGCAAGCCTAACAAAGTTCCCTAAATTTCTGGTACATGCGCAGATGAAGCATTACTTTTGATCAGTACAATTTTGTTGGATGACTCCAATTAGGCGTGACAGATACGCGCTCTGTCACGTGGAGATATCCGATCGGTGGGGGGTTAAAGCGACGCGGCGACAGGCAATCAATCCTGCGTGAGACTCACGTCTCCGTCCGTCTGCATGTTCATCGCAAAGCTTATTTCAAGCTCAATCAAGGCACTGCCTTACTAGGCGATGGAATAACTACGTTCAGGAACCCCTTCCGAACTCTGGATTTTCCTGTCCAGCAACCATCAGCTACAGACTCGCACATCCCAGCAGCGATCCGCGTAGGGGTATACTTTCGCATCCCCGCGTTTGCATATCTTCAATTCATAGCTACAACCACTGCCCGCCATGTCGAACATGTACGGCGAACTGGGGAATAAATTGGTTGGTCTCTTCTTAGTTGTTGGATTCCACCTACGATTTGGCCTAACACGGGTGATCCGCAGGTTCAACACGCCAAACGCACCCAGGCTCTAACCCATCTGCCTCCCTACCAAACCGAACTCGTTCGCGCCGTCGCCCGCGAGGTCCGCGACCTGGACCGCGATGTTGCACGCCTGCTGACTCCCTTCGAGGGCAGCTTCAATCCGTCCCAAGAGCCCGCCATTGCCTGCGCCCTCCTCGTCGACCATCTCTGTATGCGTCGTAACAAGCGATGTCTTCTCGCCTACCATCGTGTCCGCACGGAAAAATTGGAGGAGCTCTGTTGGACGGGTGTGGATGTGCTAGAACAGCAATTACCCGTGGCGGAGGAGGCAAGTGCAGGAGCTGCCGCCGCCGCCGCCGCCGCCGCGGCACAAGGCCAGGGCGCTGGCTCGGGGATGAATCACAGCTCGCTGAGCCCGGAGGAAGAAGAGTACTTTCGACAATACAGTGACCTGCTCGCCGCGTATAAGGGGCAGTGGACGGACATTGACCTCACTGGAAGTTTGGAGCCACCCAAAGATTTGTTCATTGATGTGCGAGTCTTGAAGGATGCAGGGGAGATCCAGACGGAATATGGGTATGTTCGGATGAAAATGCATGTCAACGGTCGGGTGCTAACAATGCGCAGGGTGATCAATTTGACGAAGAACAGTCAGCTCTACGTACGACAAGGGGATGTGGAACGATTGATTGCACAGGGCTTTCTGGAACGGTTGGGATAGATTGCTGTGCCTCCGTGGGCCGGCAGTCAGGATGCGGATTACCCCCCGATGCTGCTTCTGCTGCTCTAGTTGCTGTTTTCTGTGTTACATGATGATACCCATTTAGTTTGTTGAGAGTAGTCTGAAGAGCGGAGACGGTGGCATTGGGACCGACGCTGCGCGAAGTCGAACTCAGGTGGATTAGCGTAGCAATGATATTTAGTTTTTTGACACATCCTAACTGGGAGGTCTATTAAGTAGGTAGCCTGGAGTCGATCTGGCCAATGTCTAGATCGTATGTTACGTCGAAGATAATCTAGGGATCCGTCTTCGGCACTGCGTGGACACAAACATCGCCGTTGCAACGGCCGCTTACCTAATGGCGTCGGCCCTATCATCGGCCTGGATGCGGCCATGCAGCTTCGCCGAGGATTGAAGCTCTTGCCTTCCCACACCATTACTGCAGCTATTGTCGCACTTATTCTGACGGCGCCCTCTATCCCTGCACACCAATTTAGTTCGCTAGCATAGCCCATGCTCTGTGGCCATCCAGCAGCAGCTTTCGCCATCCAGGTCCCCAACCATCGCGTCTCCATGTCCGAGAAGTGGATCGGTGATAATCCGCCCGTGATAAGACTTTTTAGTCACTTTCACCCACCTAGCTGATAACAACGGCCAGTCATGCCTGGACCGGATTGAATCGCTCTTTTGATCCCTCCAGACCTACTCTCTGAACGCCTCCCATATCATAATCGTCTGTTTTCCCTTCTTCCCCTCATTCAATCGGCCAATCGTGGAGCGATGTCTATGGTTGTTGATTCTTCTGAGTTCTTGCGTCATCCGGTATCATCTCTGCACTTTCGGCCACTGTCCTAAGATCTCGTCCACGAGCCTGGAAGCCTGCGGGCTGAATCAGTACTTGCTCGGCTCTTACAATCTGCACTGTGACTTCGGCACTTGGGACTTGTGGTGGGCTTATCCTCTGCCACACCATCCGCCATGGGAGTCTTGCGATCGTGCAACAGCCGTAGCGACCTCCGCGGCGCGGGGATGCCTTCGCATCATTCCGCCCTCAATGACGACTTGGAGCCAGCCGGAATGGAGATTCCAGTTGAGCATGCTCATAATGGGAGCCCTCCACGGTCCTCAGTATTAGATCCAACCGTGTCCGGCGGCACCAGTTATCGGACTCCGAGCAGGTCTTTCTTCCATCGGTCATTTCATAACTCTGCAGGTACGCCGCTCATGTAATCGACTTTCGTCCCCCAAAGCATAACCCCGCCGTGTCGTCACAATACAATAATGCAGTGCTGACTGTTTGGCCTAGATCCGGCTCATTATTCGTCCCATGGTATGCGAGAACAAACTGCCGAATTAGCATCCTTCGCCTTGTCGCGTGAATCGAACACACTTCCCTCGTCGCTCGATGTCTTCCGCCCCCCTCGCGAATCGTCGCTTTCTTCGACCCCGACTCCGATCGCAACAGCTGCAGCAAGGGCTCATCTTGAGGCTGGCCCTTCCTCCATTCCGACTACCGGCTCCTCGGTACTGACCCAACTGATCCGACACCCCGATATCCCGGAATCAAGCCAGACTGAGCAGTACCACTTTGAAGAGTGGGAGAGGGCAAGTGACAGTACCGTCTCTCAAGACGAGCTTCCGGTCGTCACTGCCGGAGAGACTGTGAGCACAGAGCAAACTTCGTTGTTATCTAAGCCGTCACACCCAAAGCCATATCAAGGCTACGGCGCTACAGGTGATATTGAAAACCAGGGATATGCGGGAACGAAGGGACCGAGCGCTTTTTCCAGTGCCTTCTCGAGTGTCACTACTTGTTTCCGGCTCGTAGCCAACCCGAAATCGTGGGACAAACAGGCTGTATGGCGCGAGGGGGTCGTCTATCCCCTCAGCCTGTTGCCATCGGTATTCCTCGGTCTGTTGCTCAACATACTCGATGCTTTGTCTTACGGAATGATCCTCTTCCCATTGGGTGAGCCTATATTTTCTGACCTTGGATCGGACGGTATCTCCATGTTCTACGTGAGCACGATTATTGCTCAGCTCGTTTTCTCTTGCGGAGGTTCCATCTTCCGTGGCGGTATCGGCAGTGAGATGATCGAGGTGGTACCTTTCTTTCACCAGATGGCTTTCACGATCTTGAATCGAGTTGGAGCGGATAACCCGAAGTCTGTCCTAGCTACCACTATTCTGGCGTTCTCGGTCAGTTCGATTCTGACGGGCCTTGTTTTCTTCCTTATGGGGACTTGCAAGCTAGGGGCCTTGATCGGGTTCTTCCCAAGGCATATTCTTATTGGATGCATCGGGGGTGTGGGCTTTTTCCTCTTGTTGACCGGCCTCGAGGTATCAGCTCGGCTTCCCGGCTCGTTCGAGTTCACCTTGGCAACAATGGAGAAGTTGGTGCAACTGGACACAGTATTTCTTTGGACGGTGCCCTTGTTCCTCGCGGTCGGCTTGCTTGTTTTGAAGCGTTTTCTGCATTCTAATTTCCTCCTCGGTGGCTATTTCATTTGCGTGGCTGTCGTATTTTATATTGTTGTTCTCAGCGCTGGGGTCTCTATGGGCACTCTGCGCAACAAAGGATGGGTCTTCGATGCGCCGTCCTCCTCAAATCCGTGGTATCACTTTTATACCCTTTATGGTATGTGAAAGAATCTTTGTGATAGCGGTGACTTTCTAACTATTCATAGATTTTTCTGCTGTTGACTGGGCCGCGTTCGTCGACACGATCCCAGCAATGTTCGCGCTCACTTTCTTCGGCGTCCTGCATGTACCCATCAATGTGCCTGCCCTGGGCATATCGACGGGCGAGGATAATCTCAACGTGGACCGTGAGCTCATCGCGCATGGCGTCACCAATGCCCTGTCCGGCTTCTCGGGCAGCATACAGGTACTGCCTCTGATAGCTTGCCTGCAGGGAGACTTGCTGACTTCTATAGAACTACCTTGTATATACCAATAGCCTGTTGTTCATTGACAGTGGTGGCAACTCCCGTTTAGCAGGTATCATGCTCGCGGCTGCGACGGCTGGTATTCTCGTCGTCGGCCCGGCGATTGTCGGCTTTATTCCGGTCATGGTTGTTGGCGCTCTCATTTTTCTGCTGGGAATTGAGCTGATGCAAGAGGCCTTGGTGGACACATGGGGAAAATTGCATCGGCATGAATATATCACGGTAAGCTCTAATTTGAGTTAATGACGGCACTGGCTAATTCTGTAGGTTGTCATCATTGTTGCCACTATGGGCGCCTGGGATTTTGTTGTTGGTATTCTTGTTGGTATCATTCTCGCCTGTCTAAGCTTTGTCGTGCAGACTTCTCGTAAGTCTGCTATCCGTGCGACTTTCTCGGGCGGGATCACGGGGTCTACAGTCAGACGTCCTCCTATTCAGCAGCGGTTCCTCAAGGAAGCCGGGCAGCAGACCCTCATCATCAAGCTTGGCGGATATCTCTTCTTCGGTACCATCGTGAGCGTTGAGAATACGATGAGAGGATTAATCGAGGAAGAGGCATTCAACCGACGGCCCATCCGATTCCTGATCCTTGACTTCTCCAGGGTTTATGGCATCGACTTCTCCGCGGCCGAGGCATTCACCCGCATCAATCGCATTCTTAGCAAGCGGAACGTTCAAATGACCATTTCTGGCCTCGACGTGGAAGGAGAGGTGGGACGTAGTCTCCAGAACGTGGGCTTATTCGAGGCTGTAACGGGGGTGGAAATTTTCGAGGATCTGAACTCGGCGCTCGAATTCTGTGAGAATGACTATCTCAAAGTATTCTACAGCCACAGGGAGGCATTGTTGAGGAGACAGCACGGAACTTCTACAAGCTTCCTGGAGGTTCCTACCCCGCAAGCACCATCCCACCTGGGTGATACGATGGTCAGTTCTCCTCGCCAGCGATACCTACAGCAAGCCGCAAGGAGCACCCTCCGCGAAGACGAAGTCGCAGTAGTCGCACCGGCAGCATGGTCTGCCATGCGCCAGCCGCTTCCGCTGCTCCTCCAGACCTTCCAGGGCATTACCTCCCGAAACGAGGATTTCTGGTTTCCAGTGTGCGCCTATTTCGTGCGAGAAAGCTACGCAGCAGGCACTGTCCTATTCCGTGAAGGCGATATTCCGATGGGATTTTATCTTCTGGAATCCGGGATGCTTCGTGCCGAGTACGAACTACCGCAGGGACGATACTTTGAAATCATTGTGGCTGGCCGACCGTGCGGCGAGCTGCCCTTCTTCAGCGAGACCCGCCGGACAGCGACGGTCAAGGCCGAACAGGACTGCGTGAGTTGGTGTTTGAACATGGAGAAGTGGCAGGAGCTGCGTGAAAACGAGCCAGAGATTGCAAGGGAGCTTCTGACGGTCAGTCTGAAACTGACTACGGAGCGGATGGACAGCATTACTTCGTGAGTATTCCGTCATTCCTGTACACGGGATTGTGCTTTTTGACTGACATGATTCCTCTAGTTACGTTCTAACAACAGCGGCTTGATAGCTGTTTTGACTGGTACTTTGATGCGTTGGCCGGTTCCGCCTATAGTGGCATGTTTTTGGTATATTTGTCTTGCATAGCATGTTGGTGGTTGACTTTCTTCTACCTAACTATTGTATAATGATTGTGAGCGTGTGTATGTATGTGCGTCGGCTGTTGTTAATGTTAGCTGGTCGGGCGCATAGCTTGACCGACTAACTTATTACCTATGGTCGTCTTCCAGACTTAACGATTGCTACTTGCATGACTGGCGGGGGTCCAAACAGGATCAAATGCTGAGCCGTGGCATGGTTCAGTTGATGTAGCGCTGCTCGGCATCACTTGGAATTTTCTCCATGCAGCTTCAGTCAAGTCTATGCTCCGCCCTCCCCATTCTCATCATCCAGAGAAAGGTGTGCAGCACATTCTAAGGAAAGACACGCTTTCTGTTGAAGAAGCACGAAGGCTCAGCTGACGGTCTTCGGAAATGCTCAGTACCAGTACGGAGTTCGACATACAGCCTCTGTGGCATACGGAGTCAAACGACATGCAACTCATTGTCCAGGATCGATTGCACTTGCAAATAGCGGCTATTTCCAGGAGTTCTTATTATAATAGATGCCCGAACAAGGGAAGGGGACTTCTGCTCTGTTCACTGACAGTCTTTGACATCCAGGCATGTTGAGGAAATCCTCCATGCTAATCTCCGTTTGCATACTACTAGAGAAAACCTCCGCTAAGCCTCCAGTTCCTACGGTTTCACCAACCCCCAAGCTTATAAAATCCGTCATGATAACCAAGATATCAAGAGATCTACTACCTCTATCTCTACCCCTACCAACCTTGACTGAATCGCTAAAACTCACACTGGGAAACACTGAACCTAACCCCAGATCTCACTAATTATCACCAGGAAACCCCACCCCCCTCCCCCCACCCAGGACTCCCACTAACGATACTACATAGCATCAACCACCAAAATGAGCGCCCCCACCAACAACAACACCATCTACAGACGCTCCCACGCCCTCAAGTCCACCAGCCTATGGTATGCCGCCCTCAGTGACCTCTTCCCCACCGCGGCAGGCTTCACCGTAGACCTCGAAGCCGGGATCATGTCCCCGATGCGCGAGTCCTACAACCGCATCACCGTGACTTTCCGTAAGCCTGCGCACGAAGCTGCAACTGAAGCTGAAGCGGAGGCTAAGAACGTAGCCGGCAGGGACGGCAGCGGCAGCGGCAGCGGCAGCGAGACCCTCATCATCTTCACCCTCATAAGCGGCGCGCTGCGACGCCCGCGCGCGCACCCGGGCCACCACGTACTCATTCTGCGGGATTTCCTGGCCGCCGTGCACCATCACGGCCACGACCACTACTACCGACACCACCATCACCCGCCCCAGCTACTGTCTTCGTCGGCGGGGCCCATCGTCGGCGCCGTGATGCTTCCTCGTCTGCCGGTGACGATACAATTCTACCGGTGGGATTGGGGCCACGGCGGGTGGGTGCTGCCCGTGGGGCAGGCGTTCGATGAGCTTGTAGACCGCCGGGGGATCTTGGGGGTGTTGGTCGGGATGAAGGGGTTGGTGCTGAGCAGTGGTGGGTTTGGGTTGGGGAGGGGGGTTAATTGGGTGGATGATGAGGAGGAGGTGGTGGAGGACTTTTTGGTGGTGAGGGTTTAGACACAGACTGTTTCTGGTTTCGACGCTTCCGTTTCTGTTGAGGAGTAGGGCGCGTTTTCTTTGGATGTTGGTACGAATAAGAGGATTATCATTCTTTGGTTTTTTTCCGTCCTTGTTGGTAGAACCTTGAAGTTGTGTATTGTTCTCTTGTGTATGGGGGCTGTGTAGGGTGCGGTGTATACTGTAGCTAGGGGGTTTCCTAATGATCTAGATCATTGGTGGTGGCCTCTTCAGTCTGCATGCACCTGCATACAGGTACTACTACCGGATAGGTAGATGATATGAGAGCAAGTTTGTTCCACGACGCAGTCGACTATGGGAACCTTCTACTGGGTATCTAGAAGGGAGCGATTTTACGTCCATGAGAGAAAAGAATACAAGGCTTGATACCAGGATACACCCTCACACTGCTAATGGACAATGAGTATATCCACCCTTCCCCCGTCTCCCTCCGCACCACTATACTTTCGATATGCGCAAGCGATCTACCCCCACCTGACCGATTCATACAATCGATCAACGACGGCGTAGATCAAGCTCACACTTGACGACCAGTCTTGTTGGATCTGAACCCGAACTCCTCTCTCTCCCCCTCACGCGGGCAGGATTCGCCATCTCGTCAGGTGGTGACAGTGATACCATCTTAGAGTTCATTGCGCTAGCGGACGAATCGGAGGATGTGTGCCTATCTATGGGAAGACCTCGGGTTTCCGAGGCGGGGGATCTACAGAGTGCATGATGATGGCAGGTATATGGCGTGATAAGGCACGTCATGCGACTGCCAGGTGCAGTGCAGTGGGTTTGCCTGCGGCGTCCGCCGGGTTTAGCCTTCCCCTGATGTCAGCCAGCCCCTCTCCACTTTGTCAGGGTGGGCTTGGGGGGTGGAGTGAAAAGTGTATCCAGTATTTCCGTTTTGATGTGCTAGACTGCGTTGGAGTTGTAGTTCGAGGTTATTTGGGTGGAGTGGGGAGGGCATGTGGTCACGTGAGGTATGAGGTGGGCTAAATACCTTACCTACTGAGGTTCTATACTTCTGCAGGGATGAGCGCTAACATAACTTAGTACTCGTACTGTCGTGACAAGGCTGAAGATGCAAGATTCCAAGGGTTGGGCTGTGGTTCCGTTTGTGTACCATGCAATCCACTTCGTTTTGGCAGATAGCACCCCCGGTTGATTTGGGTTTGATAATGGTTGATGATGGTACTGTACCTAGTAGTTAGTTGCAGCCCTGTACTGTAAGTGAGCCGCTGCATCGCCTGGAGATCACTTCCTGCCAATGGGGTGGAATGTATGGCTAGGTCCTTTCCACACCGCCGAGATCACCATCCCAAGAAACTGAAAGGCCCTTGGGGAAAACGATATGGCCACGTTCCCTTTTTAAAAGGAAGGTATGATTGATCGTGTCCGTGCAGAGATCAATAACTAGTGCCTAGACAAGGATCTAGCGCTGATCAACGACGGTCATGGCCATGATCATGTAAGCTTTCAAACAACGTGACCTCCCCCCATGCTAAGGGTCAATGATTTCGATTCGGCGTCGCCTTGCAGTAACAGGTAGCGTGACTTCTATACGGAGGTGTGTCCCAAAAGTTATTAAACCGCACTAATCTTCTTAACTGAAATATATGTATTGACTTGTTAATATAATATCTATTATATCTAGTAAGTTGTACTGCTTAGGAATAGCTTCGCAGTACTAATACTTAAACAAGTAAAAATCTTTTAGTATATTCTCGACTAGACTTAATCTAGTAGTAGTTACTATATTCAATCTTACAAGTAATATCTTTTAGAGCAATATTTACTATATTTAGTTTTATAATTTACTTCTTTAGGCTATACTTATATTATATAAGATATTATTACAACCAGTTTACATCGAGACAATTAGCGCAGTTCAATAACTTTTGGGACACACCTCCGTACTTGAGACTGGTTTGGTGAGCAGGTACTAGCTCCGCGGCTCCCCTCTGTAGTGCAATTTAGCACCCGCGGGGGGGGGGCGGGCTGAAAATCCAACCGCCCACTTTTACATTGAATAGATTAATTGATAAGCAAAGTCAACGGTTTCCATGTCAGATGAGAGGAGGGGAGCTGCAGGTGGCGTTGAAAGCCGGTGGAAGCTCATATTGGGGCGGAAACTTGGTTGATTTATTGGTCTATTAACGAGAAGTTATTGTGGACTTTGACAAGTTGGTCGATTTGGTGCTAGACACATACTACTCAGTACGTAACATAGACATGGAGCGGGATGATAAACTGGGTTCTGCCGGGTTTATTATAAGTTTCATACCTCATGATTGGCGATCACGGCTGGGATTCAGATCTTGCGTGTAGTCGAGGAAGCGGTGGCGGTGTGAGCAAGTCAAGGCGGTATGGGCATGCTCCTCATACTCCTACTCAAGTAAAGAGCTGCCATTGACCCCACGTTTGCGCTCTGAAGGCACTCGGGAACCCATGTGTATGAGTAATTACTCGGTAGCAGAAGCTAGAAGTGGTCACGTTTTGGATAGTCGGGATAATCAAGGGAGTAACTAGCAGGTGTAAATTGGAAGTGGTGATGATTGTCGGGGTACTTTGACTTAGAGATGGGCTAATCTATGGTTAGGATTGTCACTTCATGGAATATTTGTTAGTAGGTGTATGTTTTGCAAACAGGCAATCCATCTACCCCTTTCCCACTACGTCTCTCCAGCAAACGTCTCTTCCAAGTACGTATCAAAGCATGGGTGCCCCTCCCCAACCACAACCACTACTCACTTCTTTCGTGAGTATGGTTCTAATGTTCTATCTAGATACCCGCCGCGGAAGGTACAGTACGATGTCCGGCAGCGCCACCGTTTTCCGTGGCCAGTGGACCATCCACGGCTAGAATTATGTGTGCGACGGGGTCACAGATCAAGTTCTTGAGGACTGGGAGTCGCAGGCTACCTGGTCGGTGTCTTGGACGTCTACAATATGGGGGCTTATCCCTCATCGGGCCCCCGTGACGTTTCCCTCCCGTTTCCCGCGGTTGGGGGTTCTGGACTATGACTCCTGCTGGGTAGGAGCTCTTTACCGTTGGGAGGGGCGATTTGAAGCGTGAAGCAGGAAATGTAAATTGAATCTAGATGGCGAAGAGGGGAGGTTTATGCGGTCGTGAGAGTTATCGTAGGTAGTGAAATACAGAGTCGACAAGCGGTCCACCGCCTGCTGGTTTTCTTTCTGGCTATACAACCTCATACTATATGGCTAGATGGACGGATGGCTGTCTGTCGGCAAAAAGTCAGACAGTGGGATTGTCTGGATCAGCAAGCAAGACGGCGGTTCAACACGGGCCAAGCCATTGATCATCAGATCGACGGTGGCCTGATTGGTGGACGGTCGGGATTGAAGCTCATCAGCTTATGTTGGTTGGTTCGCTTCAAGCCCGAGGCCTGCTGGTGGTCGTTGAAACGGCCGGGAGGGAAGAGAACGCAGAATGGAAAATTTACTAAAAACTAGTACGTACTCCGATAGTAGTCAAGGCAAAAAAAAGGGGGAGAATGAGGAAGCGGGCAAATTGGCCGGCCCACTGCGATAACCCTTCTTGCAAACTTGTTTGTACTCGAGTATATGAGAGGCCATGGAGTAGAGTCAGTTTGCTGAGGAGATTTGTTAGAATGGATTGGCAAGCGACGTGCGCTTCTATCATGGATCATCATGGTTGATCATGATTTCTCGAATAGTAATTGCGTTGAGCAAAGCAGATCCCGCGAGCCGCAAAATTGTATATGACCAACCTATTGTGCAAATGTCATGTCGGAGAACTTCCATGGTACGGACCGTACATCCAAATCAACGGAGGAAGTATGAGCTCTATCTCATTAGGGATATTCTTCCGCTTCTGCTGCCGCTGCCTTGCCACAGAAGCAGGCCAGAAAGACAGGATCATCATTCAAGAAATTCAAGAAGATTCAGAAAGCACATACTGCAAAAGTCGTGACTCGTGAGTCGTGAGACAGGGGGATGATTGAGAGTGGGGCGGCCTTTCCAGCTCTGGCGCTGGAGCTACTCGAGTAACAAACAATATCCTATCCACTTTTTACCCTCCTGAGTAAGAAGTACGAACTCATGGTCCCAAGGAGATGTTATTCCTTCCCATTTACGCCCCCCCCCCGGCCTCCCCTCTAGGGCCCTTCTCCCTTTCCCAAATATTTTCCTTGTGAAGTTGAGCACGGGGACGGCCGAAGAAGGTGGCGGAGGTTTGGAAATTCCTTTTTCGTTTCATCGGCTTGCGCCAGTGACTTTATCGCCTAGTATCGCCAGATTGAATGGAACGAACTAGATGGGAAAGATAGAATAACTTCAAGTTTGTCTCTATCGCTCAATAGGCGGCGGATTACTCCCCTCCGACCATAGTTTGTTTCCATGACTTCAGTCACGCGAGCCCAGGACTGAATATCTCTCTTTCTCTCTCCTGGCGAGTCAGCGGCGCCGATAGGGTAGATAAAAAAGATCAGGCAAGGTGGGAAAAGTTCCAAGTTGCCAAAGATGGAGGGGCTCCTTTCCCGCTGGTTGGTCCTACAGTCTTGAACAATGCTGGGCTGTCACGAGGCATTCCGGTCGCATGGACGGGACTGGTCTGAGAAACTGCCGGTGGGTGGTCGGTTTAGCAGAAGAAGGGAGTTCGGGGTTCAAGCAGGCAAATCAGAGTCCCCTTCAGCATGAACACATTGATGTGGCACAGAATGACGACGATGATGAGGAGGAGAGAAGAGGACGACAACAACAGCAGCAGCAGCAGCAGCAGCAACAAAATGAAGATGCTCGCCAAAAACAGCGGGCGGGTAACCGAGCGTTTGGACTAAAAAGCTAACTAACTCACTATTTAGACTAGCCCGGCGCTTAACATATTTCCTTCATCATGGTTTGATTCTTTCTGCTGCTGGGATTTTTTTCTTCCCTGACAATAACGGCAACATCGAGATCTAAGTGGATCGGTTGGGCAGGAGTCTTAAAGACTTGAGGCACTAAATATCTGTTCCCGACCGGGCTTTCTGCTATATGTGAAACACCAATAGTCGCGATTCAGCGCGATTCAGCTTCGGCAGCCATCGCCAACCGCCTACTTTCAAGCAGCGATGCGGCGGCAGCATCAGAATTAACTGCAGTGTAGTCTATGGAAAGCTGGTCTCTGTCTCTGCCTGGAACGAAGGAGGAGTCATAGACTAGTAGGTTAGACTAGTTAGTCTAGTCTCGAGAATAAACAACAAGAAGCCACTTGGCTGGAACCTATCTGATTCTGACCCATGGTTGTGTAACGGACCAGCCTTGGAAGCTAAACCCACCAGGACGATCTGGAAATTCTGAATAGGAGGTTCAGGTTTGGATGGATGGAAACCGAATGGACGGAGGGCTGGGTCCCACAAACACGGTGACCAGGTGACACCAATCTACTTCCTTCACCTGAACAAGAAGAAGAAAAGAAAGCCATGATCCATCGATGAGGTTTGGATTTCAAAAGGTGGTGTGGCAATTACGTTAACCACCCCTACGGAGCATAATCAATCTACTGTAGTGATTCTGAGGAACTATATAAGTTAGTACGTTAGTAGTTGATCCTCCCAAGCGCCGTTGAAACCATCTGCACGACCGGTAAAGAAAAAAGACCAGTCAGTGCCAAGAAACCCTACAACCACCAAAGGGCGAACCGCGTCCCACGGCAAGACCTTCCATTCCCAGGGCTGTCATCAGGAGGGGCAAGGGGGGGGGGGGGGGGTTTCTCTTTAGTAAGGGGGCTAAATTCTGCCTGTCGGTCAATCGGGGGCTGTCTTGAAGATCGGATTCACCACGGTTTCAGCAAGCCCTTGACCTCATAGGGGGGAGGGCTCGGAGGAGGGGAGGTTCTCAGCATTGTGGTGAGGGAGGGGCTCTTTTCAAGGGCCTTGATTCTTATTACCCTATTTATTGGGCCGACAAATTTTCGTTCGGCGTGCGCAAGAGGTTCGGCCTGCGTTGCAAAAAAAAATAAAAGAGAATTTTTTTTTTCTTTTTCGCTTCTTAAGTCTTAAACCATGAGGGGACTGGACTATGCTAGGATGGGTTTTATACTTCGGACCTAATTAACAGGCCATGGCCAGGGAGGAGGGGGGGAGGAGAAAGAAAGAAAGGAGCTTGGACTTTTCGTCTATCATCGTGACGATTGGCAGTCAGACCGGATCGTGTACTGTCCAACAGGACGTGCTGGGCTGGTGTCGGAGGCATCTTCCAGTCTGCAGGATCCGGGCATGCTGCATGGTGAGATTCCGATCGTGATGTATGTACGTGGATGTCAAAAAGAAGAAAAAAAAGAAAAAAAAGGAGATGCAGGATAGATCTGCAGGATGTAAGTGTCGTATATACTGTACCTGTGGCAGAGATCATATGTATGTGGTTGGCGTTTATTTAGTCTAGTTTATGGTCTGATGATGATGATGATGATGATGATGTTGTTGTTGTTGATGGTTCGGTCAACGCGATGGGGCAATACAACAAAACCCCCTGATTTAAGTATAGTGGCTACGACATAGGTTGAAGTAGATAGGTAAGGTGGGAAATTAGCTTGCAAGTGAGTGAGTCAGGATTCGCTACTAAGGTACTTCGAATTGTACTCGTAGTCGCAATTGTTAGTAGCAAGTAGTAAGTTAGTAGATGCTCATGCTCATAGTAGGCAAAGAAAAACAATCAAAAAATACCTTAAACAAAAATAATAATCAAAAAAAAAAGATCCATGATGCTCCACTCTCCTTTCAAATCTAGCCTCGAGGGCCGCCCGCCCTGCAGCTCCCTGCCTAATCGGGAAGTGACCAGGCCTGCTCAACTTCCACACCCTTTCATTTTCCGCCCTCTCACTCACCCTCTCACCCTCTCTCACCCTCCCTCCAGCTCCTCCTTTCTCGCCCCTGCTCCTTCCAGGTGGACTAGTTCCAGTTCAGTAGTTGTTCTTCTAGTACCCTCTCCTCGTTTCCTGGCCTTTGAAATTCTCTTCCTTCTTCTTTTCTTCTTTCTTTCTTTCTTCTTTTTCTTCTCCTCTTCCTCTCCCCATATACTCATTCTAATCCCTCCCTCCCCCCCAACTCAAAAGAGGTCTTTCTCTTCTTTCCCAAACTTTACCCTTTCTCCTTCATTGTGATACCCAAGCTCTCTCTAGCTTTGCGCTAAACAGAGCTCTTGTTTCTTTTCCTTCAAGATACCCCCCCTTCTCTAAACGATACCCCTCTTCAGCTCAACGCGCAAACTAATCTACGCAGCCACCCCAGCTTCAACAACTCTTAGCTAATCCATCACTATCGACTATAATTACACCTTTAATCAATCTAACCCCCAATATCATCATGTCTGAAGTCCAGAAGCCCGTTGAGGAGACTGCTGCGCCTGTCGTTGCTCCTGTCACCGAAGCGCCTGCCGTCACGGAGGTCGCTGCCACCGAGCCTGCCGCTGCCGAGGCCCCCAAGGAGACCCCCGCCGAAGCTACTGAGGCCACCCCTGCTGCTCCTGCTGAGGAGCCCAAGGCCGATGCTCCCGCTGAGGAGGCCAAGGAGGAGCCCAAGAAGGAGGAGGTTACCCCCGCTGAGGAGGGTGTCCTTGGTTACAAGGCCCCCGGTCTGGTCAAGTAAGGCGCCAATTGTCGCATTGTGAGGTTCGCATGCAGTGACTAATCATGGGTTATCACAACAGGGGTCTGCGTTTTGCTAAGCGCTTCTTCTACTTCCACGATGACGCTGTCGAGGCCAAGCAGCTGTCCGCCTTCCACCAGAACGAGAAGCCTGCTGTCGCCAACCCCATCGCTGCTTGGGCTAGCCAGACCGGCAAGGGTCTCCTTTTCTTGACCAAGCGCGCCGAGGACAAGGCTACCCCGGCTGGTATCTTCAACCTGGTCAGTACTTGGAAATAGGTAATTTGAGATAAGTGAGTGGTGATGCTGACTGAGTTCACAGTCGGAGGTCTCCGATATCGCCAAGGAGGGTGCCAACGAGTTCCACTTCAAGGTCAACGGCAACAAGCACACCTTCCAGGCTGCCAGCGGCGCTGAGCGTGACGGCTGGGTGCTCGCTCTCGAGACCAAGGCTGCCGAGGCCAAGGCCGAGAAGGAGACTATCGTCGCCAGCGAGGGCTACAAGGCCGAGCTGGAGAAGCTGAGTAAGTCTTACGCCACGCAACAAGAGACCTTTATTGACTAACGTTCTTTAGACAAGCCTGCTGTTGCTGAGCCCGTCAAGAAGGCTGCTGAGCCCAAGGAGGAGGCCGCCCCCGCTGAGGAGCCCAAGGACGAGAAGGCTACCGCCAAGAGCCGCTCCCAGTCTCGCAAGCGCGCCAGCATCTTCGGAACCCTCCTGGGCAAGAAGGAGGAGACCGAGGAGAAGAAGGAGGAGCAGAAGGAAGAGGAGGCCAAGGCTGCCGAGCCCGCCGCCGAGGCCCCCGCTGAGGCCCCTGTCGAGACCACTGAGGCGGCCCCTGCTGCTGCCGTGGAGGAAGCTGAGGGTATGTCCCCCATAATCTCCAAATCACCTACTTCTGACTAACTGTGCGAAAGCCCCCGCTCCCGCCACACCCGCTCCTGCTGAGATCAGCGACAAGAAGGAGGAGGAGAAAGAGGAGAAGAAGGCCGAGGCTCCTGTTACCCAGAAGTCCAAGCGCGCTTCTCTTTTCGGCAATTTCTTCCAGAAGGTCACCAGCCCCTCTCACGAGAAGTCGGAGAAGGAGGCTGCCGCTCCCGCTCCCGCTCCCGTTGAGACCACCGTTGCCAGCAGTGCTCCTCAGCTCGACAACCCCGTCGAGGAGGCTAACGTCAAGCCCATTGAGCCCGAGACTGTGACTGCTGCTGCTGACGCTGAAGCTTCCAAGGACGCCACCCCTGCCGCTTCTCCTGCTGCTGCGGAGACTCCCAAGAACAGCCGCCGCACTTCCTTCTTCGGTAACTTCGGCAAGAAGAAGGGCGACTCCGACAACGAGGGCGCCGACGGCGAGGCCAAGCCCAAGGGTAACAAGCTGGGCGGTATCTTCCGCAAGCCCAGCAAGGCTGTGAAGAGTGAGGTCAAGGAGACCAAGGAAGCCACCGAGGCTGCTCCTAAGGAGGCCCCCGTCCAGGAGTCCCCTGCTGAGGAGACTGCTCAACCTGTTGAGGCTCCTGCTGCCACCGAGGAGGTCGCCCCTGTCAACAACGTCCCTGCCTCCACCCCTGTCCAGGCTGCTGCCTGAATGGTCGTTATCTTGGCTGGGAAGACAAGTGCCTTGTCTGCAAATCGGTGATGCGAACCCCTTCGAATTCGAAAAAATAAAATCTGCTACTTTGGCTTGACGTTGATACTACCCCCTTGACTCCTTCATGAATCTCTCTCGTCGAGCTATTGGCGAAGTGATCCGTGTCGAGTGTCAATGATACCCTGTACTGCTTTGGCGGTTATTTCCGAGCCTTGATGTCCTTTCCGGCGTCTTGTGCTGCGTTTCATTCGTTTATGATATCCGTTCCGCAAGAAAGTCCATTGGGCCTTGCGTGATCATGTTGTGCGCCGTCCAAACTAGATTGATACCACTTGCTGCTGCTTTTTCTTTTTCTGTGCTTCCTTGCGATTTGACTGTGACTGCCATTTGATGCATTTGACTGGATACCCTCATCGGAGGAAAGGATGGTCTCTTTGCTTGTTGAAAGGGTATGGTGCTCATTGTTGACCACCCATCTTGTCCACTACGGTGACTCGATGGTGGGACAGAATGCTGGTCGCGTCATGTATACTTGGGCGCCGCATCATTAGGTAATAGCTAATAGAATCCCACGCATTGTTCTGCAATTGGTTCGGGGGGTTTACCCCAGGTGTTTATATAAAGTGTCCATGTCCTCCGTGCGTCTGTTCCACATGGTGCGTCCGGTGGAGACAGTTCCGCCCACTTCCGATTTGCTTGTTGTGGTGTGCTCCCCAGCACCGCACCGCACAGCACAACACAATTGCAGTTAGGCTAGCAGTGACCTGCGTATGGAGATATGCTGGTTCCTGGCGGTCAATGTCATGGAGATGGAGCACTTGTGGATACCTTACTCTATTTCGGACGCCGCCACTATCAGTGGAAACCACCTGCGCCTTGCGTTGATTTCAAACATTCTCTAATGTCTCTGGAACTCGAATTATTATCACATCGGACGCACTGCGTATTACATTTCGATTGAGATTGTCTGCACTGTGCGTGAGGCCTTCCTGCATGGTACATATCCCCCACACAACCTCCAAGCCTATTGTTGACTAAGCTCAGTCTTTCGCTAGCTGACTACGGTTGAACCCCGCGGCGGCTGTTCCCTTCAACCACCAGGTCTGACATATCTTCTAATCACCAATGTTGTTGTCATCGTAGCTGGTTTTTGACAGGCTTGACAGTCGTCCGCCGCCCGCGACCACGCATTCAAGGGGGAAAAGCTTATAAAGAAGTTCTTTAACAGCTGTGGATGGGCGCTACACTTCTCAGGAACAGGCAATGGATCCATGATGCTGGGTGCGGTTTTTCCTCTCCGGAACCGCGCCTGAAAGGACATTATTCGCGGAAGAGTTGCATATACTCGTGCATTGTGCAGATCTGATCTGGCTATAATGGAGATCGCTACTTTGATCTCTAAGAGTGCTGGGGGTATCCATCGCCGTGAGGTTTGGTACTCTGCAAGACTACACGGGGAGAACGGGGTCTTCGAGTCAGGTCAGTGGTGGGTGGCGTCCGTCGTTCGGAAAGACTGATGGCGAACCCGATGGCGAGTTCCCTGTGGACGGTCACCTTGAATAGAGGTGAGTGCTGAGTGGTATCCGTGCGAGATTGTCGTCTCGACGATGCCGATTCATGTGCTGACATCTATCTCGCCTTCGAGTCCCCGCCCCTTTTTTACTGCCAATGGGAGCGTTCTGCCCTGGTGTCACTTCCATCTGGAACAGGAAAGCTTCTTATTTTTCGGACGTCGGCCGAGTTTCCTGATCAATTCAACGGTAGCTGCGTGGCGGAGGAAGCGGAGCGACAACGACGACGACGAGATGCCCTACGCCAGTGGGCTTTCGGACGGAGATCATGGAGGCAACAATATCCTGCTCACATTGCTCGTGCAGTCAGATCATGGCCTAGCCAGGACGAGGGCCTCCGTGTCTCGTTTCTGGAGATCGCTGCTGAGTTCTAGCATCGTACCTCTCCAAATGAGTTTCAGGACCCTTGAAAAGCGGTTGGATGCTGTCCCATGAGGTTGGGTTGGGAATGGTGAGGATATTGACAGCAATCTGGAGCCGATACTGCAGGGGCTGCTTGTTTGGGACTTGTTGAATTGAGGTAGGAGGATAGTTGCTTGGGGTCAGGTGTCGTCTATTGTGAGAATACCTGCGGCTGCGGTCGGTCAATGGGTTAGGCTCTGGATTGCCTAAGGCTGATTGATGATCTGCGGGCATTTTTTGATTGAGCCTGATGTCTGTTCGACGACTGTGGTTCAGTTGCTTCAGGTGGCTGCAGTGGGAAGTGGGTAGCCAATGCTTGCTCGGGGAAGGAGCTGGCGTACATCACAAGATCGCCATCGTCTTTAGAAGAGCTCGATCTCAACTCTGCCCTCAAGCCCGACCTGCTCATTATACCCTTCAGTCTGGAACAATGTCCCAGTCAGATAACCAGCAAGACAACGAGAAGACTACGTCAGCAGATGAGGTTTTCTACCCCCATACCCCCTATGGTCATTCCATTATCCTGTGTCGTCTCGGATATCAGGTCCGAAAAGACAGGCCCAGCGACGTGCTGGACTGTCTCGGAGCCGGCGGGCTATGTGGGCGAGGCAGCCTTGCTACCGTGCTTGACTTCAGTGCATTGCACTGCACTCTGGTGAAAGTCTATTTTCGATCTGAAGGTTAGCAAGGCTAAAAGGCTATGTCTGGGACTGACGATGTCATTCCTGGAATGGCGACCCGGTGCTACGCTTGGTGAGGAAGGATTGTGATGATCATCAATTGCGTTGGGCGGCCTGCACTGCTACAGCTACAGTATACTTGAGGGCGCATTTTTTTAATTGTGTTCCAAGATTGTAGAAGTGGTAGAAAGGGGGAGCGACAATTTTGCGATCTTGACGAGACATGGTAGAGTAGGTCGGATAACGTTCGAGGTGCTGTTGGGTCCGATTTTGTTCTTTTGTTTTTTTTTTTTTCTGGGGTTTGAGTTCGCGCAAGATCATTTACGATGTAGTGCAGTGTAATGTACTTTTCTAGGGTACTTTGAACGGTGGTAGATCGATCTTTAGAGTTCCAGACAAGCTAGGTGGACGATGGTATCGCATCATCATCGCATGGCCATCGGAGTTGGGGATACTTCGGCCGCGATACACTTTCACAATGCTGGAGGGATGGAGGTTGATCTGTCGGTCATTGGTTCGGAATAAAAGAGCTGATGCCTATCTGATGAAGATCCTGTTATTGTATCTTGGACCTACTCTACATAAGAATAGGCTGCCGTCAACGTGTCCATCCATCATCATCATCATCATCATCATGACAGATGTCCAGGTGTCCAGGTGTCCAGGGCTGCGATGGCTACACTGCCTATTGGCCAATCAGACCACATGGGCTGTCCCGTCTCTCCGTGCAATGCTTACAAACCCGGGGATGAGAGGACACGTACGGACTCGACTTCAGTGCTGCTGCAAATACACCGATCCATCCTCTGCAGTCCACACGACGGAAAAGCTCACAAGAATCATGCTGATTGTGATAGCTCACTGGTGGCTGCCTCTTTTCCTTTCCCCGGCAGCAGAAAAGCCGTTAGAATCCGCATGTGCGTGTATGTACTTTCGAATGTGTGACTGAAGCAGGGCCGGCGGGCCACGCGGCTGCAATCCGTATCGGCGGCGTATCCGTCCATGCCCGCGCAAGGGCTTCTTCGCATCTCCAGTCGCAGTCCCCACCCGCGGGGATAAATTGTGGATGCCACAAAACGAGAGAGAGACCGGAATCAAGCGTCCAAGACACTGTCTTCGATTTTCCCCAACCCCTTTGGTCCAGGCTGCCTGGCACTCTTTGTTCTTGTTGTCGTCATCCTTTGACGGCTTTGCTGCCTGTGACCTAGTCAATTGAGCAGATCGATCGGGTCAACATCGAGTTTATTCCGTGCCACTCGAGTTGACATTCACATCTGTGGTATTGAGATTTGACTTTCCATGATTCTTTGGTTAGCTGTGAAGATTTTTTTCTCTTCCCCCTTTTTTCCCCTCTACCCAGTAGGATCCGTATCTGCTCCAATCTAAATGATGAACTATACTCTATGGAGGCCCCGTTCCTTGGCTGGTTTTGTAACGGAACCTTTCCGTACATTTTCGTGAAGGATAGTAACTTGTAACAGGGCCGGGTGCCCGCCGATGCCGGCTTCCGTTGGGTTGGGCCAGTGACCAGACAGAGGAAGTTCAAAAAGGGGATTCTCTCCCCTCCGCCGGCGGTGTTGCTGCGCTCTGAGAAATCAATCGCATTCCATCTCATCTAAGTGATAACGCCATGCAGGAAAACCAGACCTCGAGGGATTCTGTCCAAACTTGAACGGGTGTGGAAAGGGCTAATCAAGGCATTCCTGGCTAGTGAAGAGGCCGGAACGTCCCGGTGTCTTGATAGAGTTTGACCAGGTGGAATTTCACGCCCTTCGAGCGATTTTAACGAGCAAAGGAGGGGCTTGTCCTCTGCAGGGCGGGGAGTGAATCGAGTAAATGATCTCCGAAACTCCGACTGCAGGCAGGAAGAAGTACGGTACTCGAGCACTGTGCACCGTAAGTACAGAGGGAATTGGTTAGGTATACGTATGCAGGAGTTGTCTGCCTAGCACTCAGTAGATTAACTATGTTAAGTTATCTAATAGTAGTAGTCCAGTCAACAGGCACAGCAGGTGAGACAAGAGGGTGAGGCTCTTGCTCAGCCCCCAAAAGACAGCCCGGGGGCACAGCTGAGACTGTTGTGCTTCTCCCAATGCAGACCCCGACCCTGCGAGGTGGTTGGTCAATGGATCCGGTGGATGAACCGGTTTCATCATCGTCGACCATCCTCCAGGCTGGATCCTGGGACCATTTTTTTTCTTTCGTTTTTCCATTCTGCATTCTGGCAGTGGAGGTGAAGAGGGATACTGGCCAGTGACATCCCCCGCCAGTGTACCTGGACGGTAAAGGGTGGTATTTGGACGGTACCGCCGTCCTCAACCGACTTCGCAGGCTCACTGCCTGCTCCAGGCACGGGAATGCCTGGGGCTCCGACCGGCCCCACCGGCAGAGGGTGTGCACCCAATGAGGACTTCCATAGGCCCTATGACTCACACCTGCTGACCGCGCCAAAAGTGCGCTTGTCCCCAGACGGTTAGAGCGACAGGCGGGGAACAGAACAACGCTGATTGGTTTCCATGAAATGGTACTCGGTTTAAGAAGTGCCTGGTTTCCCTTCGCTGCCTGGCGCTTCTCTTTTCCCTCTCTCTCTCTTCTTTTTTTTTTTTGACATCCCACTTTTTGACTTCGGTCCTTTTTACAACTTCAACACCACCACCATAGATTCACCTCTCCGTCACCATACAGCCATCATACAACGCGACTTTTTCTGATCCATCCATCCAAAATGGCCTTGTAAACGCCTTTCCGCGGTTACACTCGTCTTTCTCAACAGAGACAGACATCATAGATCCTCTTCGGACCTCGTCTTTTTTTCCCCCTTCGTCAACCCCCCCTTCAGAGTTTCCTGTCCCAGGACCTCTGAACTTCAGCATCGCATCGCGTAGCTCAAGTTCTCCCACTCGCACGATTACCCCGTTCGACCTTACGTCGTTCACCACGGATAACTTTCAGCAAACATGGCTCCCCACGCCCCCGTCTCAGCAGCCACTGGCTTCAGTTCCGAACAACAACAACAGCAGCAACAACAGCAACAACAACAACAACCTTCCACAGGAAGACTTTGTGCTATTCCCAGCTTCGCAGCCTTCACCCAGGGACTCGCGTGCTCCAGCACCACGGAATCTTACCCTTAATTCTTCGGCCTCAGCAAATCTTCTGGTCCCATCTGGGCTACCTACTCGACGACACTCATCAGCGGTACATCACCGGCTCGCAGCCTCGCCTAGTCAGGTTCCATCTGCCAGAATAGCGCCTTACGGTTCCGGGTATCATCTTTCTACTACGTCTCCTTGGTCTCATCCTTACGCACGGAAGCCAAATTTGCGCCAGTACGCCGCGCCTGCCGCTTCGCCCTCTACTACCCATTTCAATCGTCCTCCAGTTCCTCTTTTCAACGACAACTCTACCACTCCAAAACTCCACGATCAGATCCTCAGAAAACAGCACCTACACTATCTAAAGCGATATCAAAACTACCTCAATAAACAGAATCACCGCCGCAACATGTCTACCTCCAACATTCCTCAAGGTGAGCCCAAAGCGACGAGCCGGATGGCTTGTGTCAGTATCGCTAACATTCGAATCGCAGACCTCTCCGAACTCTTCGACTTCCAGCCCGGCTCCATGGAGGCTACCATGCTCTCTCCTCAGATGATCTCTGGCAACTTCTTCGGCCAGGGAGTCGAGGCTGCTCCTCCGGCCACTGTCTCGCCGCAGGACCTCTTCCTCGATGCCTCGTCTCTCGCGCCTCCTCCTTCGGCCACTTTCACTGATCTAAGCACTCCTCCTTTGGCTACGCCTGGCAGCTTCAGCCAGAACACTTCTCCTCTATTCACGCCTGAGATGGAGTTGATGACTTCTGTCGAAGACTGGGATGCTTTGTTCCCCATTTCGCAGGAGGTGAACCGTCTCGATCAACTTATCGACCCTGTCGAGATGATTCCGGCTATGGACTCGGGCGAGATGATTCCTCCCTTGCCGCCTACCAAGTCTATGGGTCCCCCGCATTCTCCCATCATCAGGGAAAGCGCCTCGCCCATCATCAGGCAGAGGAAGTCTCCGGCTCCAGGTTCAGGTGTCGCAGCTCGCTCTATTTCGCCTCCCACTACCCGCGTCAAGCACTCCACCGTCGCTGGTGTCAACAAGCACTCTACTGTCACTGGTGTCAACGGTCGTCAGCGCAAGGAACTGGCACCCATCAAGTGCGATCAGAGCGATCCAGCCGCCGTGAAGCGGGCTCGCAACACTGAAGCGGCTCGCAAGTCGCGTGCTCGCAAGTTGGAGCGCCAAGAAGAGTTGGAGCGTCGCGTCGCCGAGCTCGAAGCGTCCCTCCTCGAGGCGCAGCAGAGTGAGCAGTTCTGGAAGATGAAGGCTCTCGCCATGGAGGGCCATTAAAAAGTTTATCGGATTTTCTTGTGTATGTTTGCGGATCAATGGGTTTTGTTATAATGTGTCTGTGCTTCATCGTGCACTTGTCGTTTATTTGAGTCTTGTGGACGGGGGCGTCGAGCCTTTTGTCTGTCTCCCGTCAATAGCAGTCGATGACCTTCAATCCTCGCCATCAACCACCGGCTGTTCGACCTGCTATTGACGGGATAAAAAGTTTTTACATCTGTCACTTGATCATGATCGGTCACCGTGCTTGTCTCGCTGCACTGCCAGACCTTGTGTTGTACTTCTCTCCTCAGGTGGGCTTGCCTCTTCAACAAGTCCTACCTCTTGGTGTGTTTCGCTTCTTACCCCAGTTCAATCAGCTGAGGGTCTCGTTCTTCGGATATGTCGTTTTGTTAAACGGCCGGTTCTGATGTCTCCTGTATATATGGATTGACTCGTGGCCTTAATATCTCTCTATTCCTGTGTTGAGTCTCAACCTTTGCTTTTGTTCCCACTCAAGCTTGATATTTGTACCAGATTGTGACCTTCACGGACTTGCTTATCTTGCTATTTTCGAATGCTCTCTACTACATTTCCTTGCTTGTATGTGTCTTTCTCCTTGGATCGATCTGGCCGCCTATCTCACTGGGTCCTTTTGATGCCTTGAAGGAGACACCACACTGTCATGTTTTTAGGTAGCTGGCTGAAGGCTTCGGTCGTGTGGTCGTCAATTGCCACACGGATTGCTTTCCCCAAATTTAACAACCTTCCAGTCTCTGGACAACTGCTCCGTCTGCCGTAGTTTCTTCTTCTCGTAGCCTAGTCTGAGCTACTGTATCCTTCATGGCTCGAATCGTCCCGTGCGTAGCTCTACCACATCGCAGTCATTGTTGCTCTACATTTAGTGTCTATTGCACATGAAGATACTTCTATTGCCCTTCCTATTGCTGGCACAACAAGCGCGCTCTAACTTATCACAATTTAATCCTCTACGACACCACACTCATCGGAATCTCCTTCTACAACCGAATAAACCACGCGAACCACCACCCCAGAATTCCATAACCCTTCCCGCTGCCTTCTCCAAAGTACCTAGTATATCTACACCCTCAACCAATGAATCAGACAAAAGACGCACAGCTCAGACTTGCCTTTAAACACACCTCATCAACACCAAGCCCCCCATTTCCCCATTTTCCTTTTGCCTAGCCCATTCCCATCGGTCCCCAGATGCACATATCCACAAGTCCACAAGTCTGAAAGTCAGTGCACCCACTCACACACTCACACTTATCCTCAAACACAGTCATGCAGTTTCTTGAATTCAAAGTTCAAGGAACAGATATACAGTGAGGGAGTTCCAACGTCTCGCAATTGGGAAGTACACTATCCCTCTGTTTCTTCCGGCTGTGGGAGAAGACAGCGGGCGGTTGCAGTCCCATGCTGTTGGTCACTTGCAAATGGCATGTGTTTGTTGGTGTGGATTATGGAGTGTCTGAATAGTGACTACCTTCCTTTCGGGGACTTGAGATAGGCAACCCGGGGGAGGGAAGCGAATGGGTAGGAAGAGGAAAGCAGGACTAGCTAGAGGGGCTGGGTCTCGGAAGTATCTGATTCTTGGGGTTTGTCATCATCTGCTGGTCTTTCTTTTGTTTGTTTCTGGCGAGGAGATTGTGGGTGAAAAGGGGGGGGGGTTTGGATTGTGATCGTTTGTTCTACTGTCTCGGGGGGGGAGCAAACGGTGAAGGGGGGTAATGGAGTTATGTTCTGTTTTTGTTATATTCAGCTGAGCGCATCGGTGCCTTTTACTCTACCCTTTTCCATCTTTGCGGTTCGGGATCCGAATTGGATGGCGCGTTTCTTCTCGCGGGCGACATTGGTCATGCCCAGACGGAGAGCGACCAGGCGCAGGGCTTTCTTTTCGGAGTCAATTCCGGCTTCGGCGTCTTCTTCTTCTGATGTGGTTTCACTGGCGGCGGTGGTTCCGAAACCGCATTTCTCCCAGACGGGGAGTTGCACGACCCAGGAGACGAAGTCTTCGTCCAGGAAAGGGAAGCGCGCTTCGCGGCCCCAGTGGGCGATGACTCGATTGTCACGGCCCAGGTTGCGCTTCCCCAGGCGACTCACATCAAGGTTGATCTCGTCAATCAGACCGGCGAATCCGTCGCGCGAGAAGGCAGCCCCATGTCGTGAGTAACCTGCAAAGAGCTCGTCTGCACCGAGACCGGAGAGGAGGACGCGGGCGGAGGTGGTGTACGAGGTTGGTTCGTGATTGCCCTCTGGCCGGTGGCTATCGTACGCTTGGCCCTGTCCGCGGGGGGCAAAGTACAATGCGCATGCAATAGACAGATCCATCTCCGTGTTGTGCGGCCTCATTAGCCGCTTCACAGTGTCTCGGTGCGCGAGAGTTTCTGTATACGGGATGTCAATGGCGACGAAGCGCCAATTTCGACCGGGGCAGACCCGCTGGAGCTCGGCGAAGGTTGCTCGACCCGTCATTCGATCGGGACAGCTTTCATACACGGAGCCTATATCCCCACCTCCACCTTGTTTGGCGGCCGCAGCTGCAACCCGTGGGTTCTCGAAAGCGACGTTAAGTAGGTCGATTGTTTCGTTTTCAGGGAGGATCTCGTGGGAAAGTCTGGCGAGCAAGGAGCAGTCAAGCCCTCCTGAGAACAAGACAGCAACTTTGACTCTGCTACCGGTCGGTGATGTCGGAGGTTCTCGCACATTGTTTATTCGTAACGCTAGGGATTGGCGCAGCTTCTGTTCCAGGGCTGAGATGACTGGGGTTTCGGTAGTCAGTGGTGGAGCGGTGGATCCTTCGGGAAGAGATCGGTTCATTGGAGGAATGGGGTTTTTCTAGTTTGTTGTTAGCAGTCGCGATCGCTCAAAAGATGTGAGAAAAGCGCATACTGGACGAAGGGGGGATTCTTCCTGATCCCAGAACAGGGTGTGTATGCTGTCCGTAGAGAAAACGACAGCACTGCCGCTGGCTCCTGAGCATGAGCCTGAGGGACTGAAAGCATGCTCGAGGTCGATCATATATACTCCGTCCGTCTCGACCTCGGTGAAATGAGTGGTAGTTGTGCTGTCACACAGACTACAGACCTTGAAGTTGCCCTCATCATCAACACCCTGCAACAGAGAGCGTCGTCCCAGACAGTCCCTGGTGAAGTAGATCTTCGAGTTGACAGCATCGTAGAACACAAAGGCGAAAGGGCCGGAGATACTACCGATGACATCCACGACCCTTTGGACGACATCCGGAGAGTCCTGCTGTTCCGGAGAGTCTGCATTCGGCCTGTTCACGGCTTCCAACAAGAGACTAAAGATCAGTTCAGCATCATTGCCCTTAATCGATTCACCTTTGATCTTCCAGGCGTCACCATTGAAGCAGAGCACGGATGCGGTATTCGCATCTACCAGAGGTTGAGGGACCACATGGTCGCCTCTCATCGACAAGACGGTCGAGGCGAAGCTAAGAAAAACAGTTGCGGATGCTCCGCTAATTGTTTGATTGTTGCCGATCACATTGTGTTCCACAGTGTGGACGTGGTAGTTGTCCGGTCCCCTGCACCGTAGCAAGCAGCAGGTCTCCTCGTTCGGAAGTACAGCTTGCGAAGCTCCAAGCGAGAAGAAGATACCACACATGATTGTTAACGAAGGAGAAATGGCGAAAAGCACAGCCAGAAAGGCGGCGGAGGTCGGGGCAATAATGATCCCTCCCCCCTCGGCCGCTGATTGCGGGCTGACATCCTCGGAGCTGTCGGGGACTCGGAGCTCATCTTCCCCTCATCTCCAGACAAGCGCTTGCTGTACAGGTTTGAAATTGCTTGCTTACTCTTGAGAGTGGTGACTGCATGTATGTACAGTACTGAGTCCAACTGATCCTCTCCTTCTGCTTCTACAGTTGAGGCTGATGTCAGTTGCCGCGCGACAGCTCCGACGCTCACTCCGTCCCCGAATGCCCCCACTCCAGGATGATCCGTGTTGCTACCTAACGCATTCTTTCTAAAATTCTTGCTTGACGTCGACGTGCATGCCGGTAGCTTATGTCTGCCACAGAACCCTCGGAGTCGCCGGCTTCCCCTATCCAAGGGGAGCACCATCAGCCCATTCTCGATGAAGAAAGTCGCAGTGACCCTCAAGTGACTACTACCGGCCTCGAATCAACGGCGCAGGGTCAGGATGGTATTTCTCCCCAACCTAAGGATCCCAAACCAATCGAGATGAATCAAGACCCTCAACCCGAGGCGCAGAGCGCCGCTACTTCCCCGCATCCACCCTCTACGCCAGCCGAGAATCCGCAGTCACTTCCGGAGAAGTTGCAGGGGCTTTCGATCGTGACTACCAAGGCCCCCGAACCTGTCGCAACCCCTGGCACCGACATACCTCCCACACCCCCTGCTAAAGACGAGTCGTATTTCACTTCGAAGAACCAATCTGCCGGATCCACCCACTCCCCTCTAACTGCCCTCTCCGAGAAGACCAACAAAGAATTACCTGAGATTCCCGGCGATGTTGAAGGACGGATCAAGAAAGATACAGTCGGCGGAGGTGGGGGCCAGGATAGCGATTCCCAGTCAGAGATTCAAAGTATCATCGACCAGTTTCAGGACACGGCACATGCCGACAAGGAGGAAACCATCATGTCACCCCGGCTGGAGCTGGCGGAACAATTCTTCGGTGGGCCGGGTCATTTTCCGCCACGCCAATCAAGCCTAGAACACAGCAAGGCGAGTCCAGAGGAGATGTCTCTACCCGGGACCTCGATCGCATCGCCCGAGAAGCAGTCCATCAAGTCTCTACGTGAGAGTTCCATCACCGAGGAAGCAAGGTTGAGCCGACGGTCATCAACCTCGACGATTCCTCCACCCCCTGAACCCGAATCTGATCAACCATTCGATTTCCATCGCTTTCTGGAACAACTACGGCATCGCACGGCAGACCCGGTCGCCAAATTCCTAAGATCCTTTCTGAATGAGTTCGGCAAGAGACAATGGATGGTCCATGAGCAGGTTAAGATCATCAGCGACTTCTTAGTCTTTATCACCAACAAGATGGCTCAGTGCGAGGTATGGCGCGGTGTCTCTGACAGTGAATTCGACAACGCCAAAGAAGGTATGGAGAAGTTGGTTATGAATCGACTATACTCTCAAACATTCTCCCCGGCTATACCTGGCCCGCCTACGATCCCCAGAAGCGCGAGCAGAAGCAAGCGGAGAGAGCTGGAAAGGAATCATGGGCCATGGAGGCGGGGACAACACCAAGAGGACATTGAGCGGGATGAAGTCTTGGCTCAGAAAATGCGCATATATAGTTGGGTGCAAGAGGCGCACCTGGACATACCACCTGTGAGCACACATGGTCGGCGCTTCCTGAATCTGGCCCAGCAAGGTTGGTGCAGTTGATTGCTCTCCCAGGGTGACTGCTTACAAGGTACAGAACTTCTGAAGATCAACGGCTACCGGGCGCCCCGCGATAAGGTCATTTGCATCCTCAACTGCTGCAAAGTGATTTTCGGTAGGTGAACAACATATCCGCAGGGTTAAGAACGGAATATATTGACGGTCTCTCCAGGCCTGCTAAGAAACTCGAAGCGATCCGATACGTCGGCTGATTCGTTCGTTCCGCTCCTAATATATGTGGTGCTGCAGGCCAACCCTGCGCATTTGGTATCTAATATCCAATACATTCTGCGCTTCCGTAACCAGGAGAAGCTCGGGGGCGAAGCCGGTTATTACCTATCATCCTTGGTCAGTCGACCATGTCTGTCACGTTTCCGCTTTACGGCCGTATTCTGACTTGATGTCTAGTCCGGAGCTATCCAATTTATCGAAACCCTTGACCGCACAAGTCTCACAGTGAGTGATGAAGACTTTGAGCGGAACGTTGAAGCTGCTGTTTCCGCTATCGCTCAACAGAACCGCGAATCGGAGACGTTGGAACGCGAGCGCAAGTCCTTGGAGCGCAGATCTATGGAGCGTTCCGCGGAGAGCTCGCAAGTAGCCTCAGTGCCGCGTGCCTCGATGGATGCTCCACGCCTACCTGGGCGGAGAGACACCCCACAGCCCAGTGACGAAGAACAAGCGCCTGTAGCAGGGCTGCTGCGCACCATTCAGAAACCATTATCCACCATCGGCAGGCTCTTCTCCGACGAGCCAGACTCACCCCAAGATCGCCCTGCGCGGTCGGGATCGCCCGCGCGACTCACACCGAATGTATATCAGCCGCCTCGTAACAGCAGCGAGGGACGACGATCGGGTGAACGACCGCGCAGTGCCATGCCGCCACAGTCGACAAGAGTTCTTGATTCTCAGGATGCTGCCGCTCGTCAGGCTAGCGCCGAGGACGCCGAGGCCCGTAGGATACAACGTGCTGAGCACAACAATGTGGTGGAGACGTTGTCGAATATGTTTCCCAATCTTGACCGTGACGTGATTGACGATGTGGTCAAGATGAAGGAGGGCCGGTAAGTTACATCAGCAGTCTCGCTGAGCTATTCTCGAGCTGACACTAGCAATAGGGTTGGGCTGGCTGTTGATGCGTGTCTCGCCCTCAGTGCGGAGTGAAAGGGAAGTTGACATCTATGAGTGATGGAGGATAAGCAGGTAGTTGGAGGCGCCAGTGCATGAAGGAGCTCATGCTGTAGCTAATTATGTGTACTTGACCACCTGAGCTACATGCACATAATATGACAATGCTGTCGGGAATGGCCTTAGCTATAGAACATTCAGGTCGATATCGAGACTGCTTGAGCAATAGCAATTATGCTGCGAATATTAGTCCGTACATATATCGAGCTTTAGCCTTTAAGTGCATCCTTAGATAAACCAAGAGCCTCGGGTTCTCCGATTTGCTCCTATGGAGTACAGTGAGCCCATCCCTTTCTTCCCAATGCAGCAGCTTGAGCCTTAGGCCGGGCCCCGGGGAATGAGCCCAGGGAAGCATGTACGTCACGTGACATTAATATCCACCAATGGTATTCAAACACAGAGTCTCGCTTCCGACTAGCGCGCGCTCGGTCCCCACCAGGCTGTGTATATAAGCCGCGTCCGCCCGCCGCCCTTTTATTTTTTTCTTCTTTCTTTCTTCATACTTACCTTGTTTGGGTGACTGCGATCAAGAAGGCGGTTCACCACAGATTGGTCCCTGCATTGCACAGCGCGGCGGAACAGTCTGTTCAACGGCCTTCGGGTCATTGACAGGCGTATTCTTTGGCACTCTTCTCTCTTGAGAGAAACCTCTTTCCTTTTCATCAGATCTCGGGCCAGTGGCTCGAGGGTGGAGAAGAGGTAGTAGCTTTGTCTTTGTAGTGTTGTCTCTAGTGTTATCTCTTCGAGTAGACACCGGTGTTTGTCATTGCGGTTGTGGCTGAGCTTGGGTGTTGCCCCTCGAGAGCTGAAGCTTCGGTCGCCGAGCTCAGCTAGCTACGGAGTCGCGCATGCCATCCCGATGACGTTGAATCGCCACCTTCCTTCCGCCCCGTATATATGCTGTCATCTTCCTGCTCACAATCTGTCACCAAACAAACAACCTTCCTAACTTCATTGTCTACTTAATTGTCTTTCCTACCTCAACCACTATCCTACCTAACTCACACCCCTCGCACTTTATCCGCACGCGAACCAACCATTCAGAATGCCTATCCCAATTCCTCCCGCCCTCGACGAGACCACCCAGTCCTCCCTCGCCACCGAGAACAACCCTACCACCTCCTCGTCCACCAACGCCACAAACCCAAGCTTCTCCTCGTCAACCCCCTCGCAATCCGACAACGACAGACCACTGAGCAAAGAGGAAGCCGACCGGTTATACGAAGAGCGAATGGAGGAGGAGTACGCGAAGCGCGAGGGCGGTGCTTGATCTGACCAAGTAGTCCCCGCAGCAGCAGCACCACCACAATCTATCTACCTGATGGGATGAATGTCTGTATATATCTACATGTGAACATACCATACGTGATAGAATACCTCAACAAGTTTCGTCACACCTGCTCCTTTTCTGGGAATGCATGTAACAAGCACAAATGCTCCTCGTAAAACACCGTAGTTTGCACATAGTAAACTAAACCCACAGTGGCGTGAAAGAGGTTATTACAGCGCATCTCAGTCCTTGACCCTTTCACCAAAAAAGAACTTGCAAAGAAGAAAGCCCACCACCCGATTCGAACCCCCGCCAGTACCCTCACCTATTAACAGGACATGACCACCCTACCTCGAAATGAGGTCTGAGAAAGATACAAAAAAAACTGGTAGCTTCTCTTTGATTGAGCGTGTCATCCTTAGTGCAGGGGCCATGCTAATCTTCTCTGTATCGTTTCAAATTGACCAAATGCCCGAAGGCACCAGGTGATGATTACATTGGGATATATTGAAAGCTCGGGTAACAGGGAGAGGTTTGATTGGTTGGTAGCTTGGGCGGTGCGGGAGGGCAAAATTTGCGGGGCCACAGGGCTTACCTCTGGCCCTGTAGGTGGTAATCCAGGTGTGAGGGCTGGGTTGTGCTGTTTGGGAGGGGTAAGGTTGATTGAGAGTGGTTGCTTGTGCGGGAAGGTTGAAGGGGTATGGGCAATGCGCAGCTTCTTGAAGTGGTCTGTTGGTTGGGGGCAAGGTCCCTCGAGGGTTGAATTCTCCCCGCTTGTTGCGCTTGTTTCAGGGTCTGTCTGCTTCTCTGGACAACGGTTATTGTAAGTGGGTTAGCATGAGGAGAATGATCCCTCAAATTGACAGTCCAGCAGGCGGTTTGGTAGCGGGGACATGGCCAGGGCAACATAGTCCAGAGTGCAGTACAATAAGAAGCAAGAAGGAGAATAGATACTCCTCCGTGGTGCCGGGGAGTAGGTGGGACGACGACAGGCTAGCAGGTCTGCCTCCTCATCCGCTCCAGCGTCCATGAGCTTGGCTTCGAGCCTTCTACATATCAACTCGCATCTATAGTCTCGAACATATGTGACTGTGTAGGGCATTCTCACCGTAGTGTATCTAATGCATCAAGTCCCACCTATCACTTAAAATATTCTGGAGATTCATTGCGACCGACCACCAGGAAGAAATGATGTCTAGCGAACGGAGGGATGCAGTGTCTGAACCGATATCTGGAATTGTTCTTCTGTCAATCTAGCCTGCATTTGTTATTCGATGCTTGAGGATCGACTCAAAGAAATACAGGGGACTACAAGGGACTCCTCTACCGCCGCTCCAACGCAGGACAAGCTCATAGAAGCGACTCGAGCGTCGGCAACCTGCATACAGGCATGCCGTCTGTTCGGAGTTTTTATTCGCAAACGTGCCAGTTGCAATCGATATATCTACTCTACACATCATAAAGTTACCTATAGAGACTTTAGCTATGTAATCCCACACCTGCTGCTGACGTATATATGCGAGCATCATATTTCCGTCGACAGAAATGCATAGTTGTACCGGTCTTGTTCTTTTCGCTCTTATACTTGAGACCACAGCAACCGTCGCGCCAGACCAAAGCGACGAACCACTGCCACAACCAGGCCTCCGTGAGCCCAGGCCCAATCTGTACGTTGCTCCTGCCATCATGTTGTACAGACTGGGAGACGATGCCAATCACAATTCACAGAGCCACGCAGACCATCACTATCCCGGAGATCCAGATTCCTACATCCGTCGAGTCTGTGCTCAGGACCGCACTCCCGACATTCTATCTTTCCCAGATAGCTGACCCATCAGCCCGGGCGTCGATCGTTAGCGAGATACGAGACGGTCTCCGCCCCGAGTGGTATAGCATCCTGCCTGCAGACGTGAAGCACTTCTTCTCCACGGCATACACGGCCGCTGGTGTGTGTCATGCGAAATCCCGTGGTGGTGTACCTGCTCCTGCACCGACTGGACTGGGGCCTGGGGTGATGGGTGTCGCTGCAGTGATGGGCGTGATGAACGCCCTTTGAAGTGTTTGTTGGTCTTGCTAAACAAAGGGGATATGAGGGGAGGAAATGGTTACGTGTGTTGCTTTAGTAAAATGGGATAATGATCATTTCCCCATCGGACGACTCTGCTTCTTGACATTCTTGCTGCAATCCGTTTCGTTGCCTGCTTCTGCCTCAAAAAATATAGATCGTCATATCGCAGGTTGCCGTGGAAGATCTCAGCCGGCTTCCCTTTGTGGGGATAGAGGATCTGTTCTGTATCGAAGCTCTACACCTCCACGAGACATAGCCTGCCTGCCCAGCCAGAACAGCAAGGAAGAAAGTGACAGGGGTAGTAGTCGATGAACCATAAATTGAGTCCAGAAAGGCTTCGTGTTTTCAGCAGATGTCCCCACGCCAAGCTTAAAGAAGTCTCCGAGAAACAAGCATCTGAACAATAGTCCTCATCTAGCCAAGACCGGTACGTATTCAGGTCCCAGTCTTGACTCGTAACCCGAGGGAGACCAGGTGGATATACTTCCCTTGATGCCGTACTAATATCCCTTGGCAAAGTCAGTGCTCCATGCTGCTGGAAAAAATAGTATAACAGAAACTCCCTGCATTGGAAAAATCTCTAGCGTGTCTCCAATCCTGTTGGAGAGCTGCCACTATCGATAAATAGATCCTGGCCCGTCTGGGGCGAGCTTACGGCCTGTGTCCGAGACCGGGCAACATCCGCATAATACACCGGGACGTGGTGAGCTTGCGAGAAAAAAACCTAAACAGGTAGCCTTCGCCGAATGGGAAGCACCAGCGCATTTGCGCCGTCGTATTTACGGCGCAGATGCTATGCTAAATGCTAGCACCCCTGTAGTTCAGACAGCGTGGTCTGCATTGGGGCCTTGTGCTGCGGCTGTGCTATGATGTAGCAAGCTGGGTCATGATGTCAACCATGGCAGAGAAGCTGTTGAACACTGGGATGATGTTCACTGAAGCTTGAGCTGATCCAGATGATCTCAGGGTCGGAGATGAGACAGCGTCGGGCAAGACGCTGTAACGCGACCATGACGCCAATGAACATGACACGAACCCCGCTCAGGAAGTCTCATAGTGTCCCCAAGTCAGTGAGGCGACGAGCCGTGTCGGATGCGGTGCGGGATTCTAGACAAGCTCCTTCTTCGGTGTATGGCTGCAGCAGTCAGTGGTTGACCCCCTCTCGGGAAATTCCCACCTCCCTACTACCTGCAAAAGGTCTCCAGCAGCTGGCACTGACCACTCAGCAGACTGGTAAATGTCATCAACAGCGGTGTTTCACCAATCAATCTCGGGGTATTGGGTTAACGCCGAAGGAAATCGAGCGCGGTCCGCGGATGATCTTCGCCCGCTGACCATTATCCACTCGCTCATTGGTGGACAACCAGGCAGCCTGGAAGGGCCTTCCCACGTAAAGAACAAAAGTGGTTTTCTAAGAGGATCCAAAGGGGGTCCCTATAAATATATGGAAGAACTCCTCTGCAGACGAGATGAGGGGTACTCGTGAAGATCAAGTCACAAAAGAAACCTTCCAGAATCATTCTTCGTGACGACCTCAACTTCCTCTTTTCCAGCCTTACCGGGATTGCAGCGAAGGTCTAGAACTGGAATCGTCCCGGCCTCCGTCGCTTTTTCCGCTGGTCCAGTCCTGACGTCAGGCCTCAGGCCAACCAACACCAACAAACCATCATCCCATTGTCGAATTCTAAAATCCTGAAATCCTTCCATTCTATACCAGCAACCAAAAAAACACAATCTCTCCATCATGGCTCTTCTTTTCATCAAACAAAAGCTCTTCCCCGGAAATCAACAGAAAGCTTCCAGCCCATTCGGTTCGTGCCCCACTTGTCCTGAGTTTGGCCTCCAGCCCTAAAAGCATAAGCTAACATACCACTGCATACTTCCAGGCAAGCCGTTGTTGTCCAACTCCGAAGCCGATGAGATCTACGTCAACCGCGACTTGGAGGCTCAACGCTCCTACGACACTTTCCGCCCTGAATCCCCCGTCTCGGATGTGGACAGCACAAGCACCAGCACAAGCTCCCGGTCGCGCATCAACCCGCGCATTGTCTCCGATGCCATTCTGGGTCTGTCGGATGGATTGACCGTGCCGTTCGCCCTGAGTGCGGGTCTTTCTGCTCTCGGAAACACCAAGGTGGTCGTGCTGGGTGGCTTGGCCGAGCTGACCGCTGGTGCCATCTCCATGGGACTGGGCGGTTACGTGGGAGCCAAGAGTGAAGCGTAAGTTGGTTCCTTTGCCTGCCATGCTTCAACCTGCAAAAACACTCCCTAACAGTCATCGCAGTGAGTCGTACGAAGCCACCGTCCGCGAAGCCAAGGAGCTGATTGCTTCCTCGCCCGCCGAAACCACAGCCATTGTCCACTCCATCTTCTCCTCGTACCGCCTCCCCGCCGAAGTCATCTCCGAGATCAGCCACTCGCTGCACGCCTCGGAGGAGCGTCTCCTGGAGTTCCTCATCAGCTTCCACCACAAGGAGTCCCAGCCCGACTGCAACCAGGCCTGGATCTCGGCGATCACGCTTGCGCTGGGCTACTTCGTCGGCGGCTTCATCCCGCTCATCCCGTACTTCTTCGTCAACCAGGTCATCCTCGCGCTGTACATGAGCATTGGCGTCATGGCCGTCACGCTCCTGGCCTTCGGGTACATCAAGACGTGTGTCGTGCGCGGCTGGACCGGACGCGACAACATCGTGGCCGGTCTCAAGGGCGGAGTGCAGATGGTGTTTGTGGGTGGTGTGGCGGCGGGGGCAGCCATTGCTCTGGTGCGACTGATCGACGCGGGAGATGTATAACCAGCCCGAAGATTGCTTTGCGACCCGTCTGGCCAACGCCAACCTTCCTCTCGACCTCTCAACCTCTCGACCTCTCAACCTTGTCTTCGACCACCAAAAAGTTCACTCACGCCATAATGACATGTACAGATATATAGATACCACGGATATAGAGCCGGCGTTAATGCTTCCATACACCATCATAATGAATATCTCACATATACTCCATAGACCAAATCTCCTTCTCCACCCCTTCCAAACAATAAGTCAACAATCCTTCCCCCCCGGGGGAAATCTAAGAATCCCCCAGCGCCAACCCAACCAACTCCCTCCCCCTCTCCCCCAACCTGACCTCCGTCAACGCCAACCCCCTCCCGCGCTCCGACATCTTCCCCCACGTCTTGCGCAAGATCGCCACGACCTTCTCCTCCTCATACCCGCCCTGGAACCCCTCCAACTGCTCCTCCAGAAACACCAGGCACGCCACATCCTCCAGCACCTGCGCCTCGGCGTCCACTTCTTTTCCCTTGAGCCCTTCCTTGCGGATCAGCTGCCCGACGCGCTGCGCCTCAGCCTCGGCGATCCCGCTCGCCACGCACACCTGCGCCGCCATCTCCGCTTGCCGGCGCGCCAGCCCCGTCCGCCACGCGTAGTACCCCGCTTTGCCGGCCGGGTAGGTCGCGCGCGGCACCTCCCAGCGTTTGAGGTGTTGGGCGCGGATGGCGAGTTGGAGGGCCGAAGATGGGTCGGGGGTGTGGCGGTACAGCCAGGCGGTCATGCGCTGGGCGTAGTGTAGTTCGTTGGGGGTGCCGGTCGTGGGGTCGGTGGTGGGGTCGGCGCTGTGGAGGGCGTCGATGGCTTGTAGGGCGCGGGCGAGGGGGTCCATTTTTTTTTCTCTCTTGGTTGCTTATTTCTTGTTGAGGGGTTCGTTTTGGAGGTGGTGTTGTAATTGACTGATGAGGGTGGGTTGGTAATGTAAGTAAGGTGGTGGTGGTGGTGGTGGGGAGGGAGGGAGGAACGGGAAGTAGAAGCAGATGCCCGCGGCAGGTGCCCTGAGCCTATCTAAGTATTTCTGATAATCAAATGCCGGGGACGGGATTGGGCCGATCTCGGGTCTGTGGGTTTTGCGACTTTATCTGCTATCGATAACACACACGGGCTTTGTCCTTATCGATAACCATGGATTATTTGTACAGTACAGTACTCCGTACTTTCTGAGGCGAGGGGTTCACTTAGACTGTTACATACCAGCTTGTGTGGAATTATACTTATTTGTACTCCTATAGTGACCGTTACTTCAAGCTTACTGCCACTTACTCCCAGATGCTAAAAACTCCTGTCCCCGCGCCAATGACCGCGATGGCTCCGCGCCCAACCACTCCGGCTCCAGGCGATCGAGATTGTCCTCGATCTCCCACCCCCGTCCCCCCTCGACGTAGATCGACTTCCCATTCATGGTCGGGTCCGCTACCAAGCCCGCTACGATGGTCGCCACGCTCAACGGGGAATTCACCGGTAGCTGCGCCTGCTTCCAGCCTTCCTGGAGGTTCTTTACCATCTCTGTATCCGTCATCCACGGACAAACGGCATTGACGCGCAGCTGATGCGCCGGGGCGGGGAGATACGGCCGCAGCGAGCGCATCAGCCCCAAGACTCCATGCTTGGTCGCCTGGTAGAGGAACATCCCCGGGGTCTCCTTGAAGCCCGCGACGGAGGAGATGAGCGTGAGGGAGCGGTCAGTGTGCGACGGTCGGTTCTGGCGTAGATACACGGCGGCGATACGAGCCACATAGAGGGCCCCGAGAAGGTTGACGTTGAGGACGGTTGTGGAAGGGGTCTGTGCGTTTTTTGTTTGCTCCGTGTCAGCGCAAGCTGATCTGAGGAGATGGCAGTCTGCGTCTTTTCTCACCTCTCGCACGGTCTCCAGCGTCAGGTCAGGATCGAACCAGTTTCCGATCTCGAGGACTCCCGCCCCGGCGACGACGTGGTCGATCCGGCCGTAGGTCTTGTAGGCGGTGTCGAATAGATCGAGGATGGACTGGTAGTCGGTCACGTCAGTCTCCTGGAATATCGCTCTCGGGGGAGCGGACGATGACGACGCAGCGCAGACGCGCTCGACGAGGTTCGCACCAGCTGCGACAGCGACGTCACCAACGCAGACGTAGGCACCGTGCTCGCAGCTGTATTCGACCAGACTCGCGCCGATGCCATTTGCCCCTCCTGATTATGGTTGAGTTAGCGTCCGCCGTGAATAATAATTCCGGTGCTCATCTTATCCGGAGAAGGGCGCACCCGTGATCAAAATGACTTTGTCCCGCAATGAATCTGCGGTGAGGCTACTCTCCGGGCGAAAACGAGCCATCTTCTATGAATCTGCCGGACGTGTAGCCCATTCTCAGTGTCGAGGAGGGCAATGGCAGGCTTTAATCTTTTATCCTGCGTCAACTGTCGCATCATACTTTGTCTTCCTTGGTTGTCGCTGTGCAGATGATGCGCGCAAAGTCTGGTTCGGGATACGAATTGGATCTGCATGTGTTCATCGTCATATGTGGGGAAAGCCGAGCCCGGAGTCGCGATATGACAGGCGGGTTTCCCGAGCTCGGCCCTGCAGCTGAACCGCTGAAGAATCCACTGAGATCACGGAGTATGTACCGTACGACGTATACTTCCTTGAAATCATCAGCCGGTCCCGGGAATCCGGATATACACTGAAGACGAGGGGTAACACTTAAAGAGAGACAATGCGTGAACCTGCTTGAAGTACAAACTTCCTTTTACTACTTGAGTAACCTAAGTTACCATCTACTCCACACCCTCTCGACATAACAACAAAAAAAACAACAAAAAACAAAATGCTCGAAACCCACCACCACATCGCCTCCACCAAAGGCCTCTCAAGCATCACCACCCTGATCACCGACCCGACCACCGGAGCCGCCGTCCTCATCGACCCCCCATTCCTGCTCCCCGACGCCCACTCCGTCCTCGCCTGGATCATCAAAACCACTTCCGCCGCGGGTGGTGCCGACCTCAAAGCCATCTTCGTCACCCACCACCACCCGGACCACTTCTTCTCCGCCAACCCCATCCTCGACGCCTACCCGGCCGCCAAATTCTACGCTGCCCCGTACGTCCTCGCCGGGATCGAGCGCGAGTACGCCGAGAAGGTGGCCTACTGGCCCTCCGTGATGGGCGCGGAGAACGTGCCGGCCGCACCCCGGAAGCCTGAGCCCTTCCCCTTCAGCTTTTTCCTGTTGGAGGCCGCGCCCGCGAGTCCGATTGTCCTGCTGGGCCCGCTGCAGGGCGACGCGGTCGATCATACGGTGTTTTGGTTGCCCAAGGAGCGGACGGTCGTCTGTGGGGATACGGTTTACGGGAGGAGTACGCATGTTTGGTAGGTTTTTCTACTTTTATTCTCTTCCTTTGTTTGAATCTGCATAGCGTGGTGATGATGATGATGATGATGATGATGATGATGATGATGATGATGATGCCTTTTTCTTGTTTGCATTGCCGAGAACCTAGCTGCCTCCGGGGGTGCGTTAGAGAACAGTATGGGGCTGGCTGGACTGTACAATCCGATGTGCTATGTGTACCGTACCTCGGAACTTGCTACTATATCTGCCGCTCTCACATCCGTGCCCCCCCTCCCCCTCCACCGCTTGAGATGTAGGAAACCACCAATATATCCCAGCCTCCTGTTTGCCTTCCTTTTACCCAAACCCCCAAAACCCAAGCCCCAAACCACCCAAACTAACCCATCTCCAAAAAAAAAAAAGGGTCGAAGAACTCGAAACCCCCGCCCTCCTCGAAAGCTGGCGCAAGACCCTCGACCTGCTCGCCCTGCTGGGCCCCACCAAGCTCATCCCCGGCCATCTGGAGGAAGGCTGGTCGCTGGACTGCGCCGCGGACCTGGCCCACACCCGGCGGTACCTGGACGTGTTCGCCGAGAAGGTGACGTACGCGGCCACCCAGCCGGGCGTGCAGGAGCTGTACGACTTCTTCCGGGACGAGTTCCCGCAGTGCCGCGAGAACCTGGAGTTCTTTCTGGGCCACCTGGCGAATCAGTTCGGGGAGGGCGGGACGGTGTGGGAGGAGAATCGGTGTCAGGATCTGGGCGGGAGGACGGTGGAGGGGTTGTGTGGGTATTGGTTCAAATGAATGAATCGGCTCTTATGGGTGGTAGTTGGAGGGGGAGGGGGACTAAGGTGTGTATGGCATGCATCGGTTTGAGATGAACATCTACAAGTCATGCTTCAGTTCTTCTACTAAACAGTCATCTACTCAGCCAAAATCACCACTGTGCACCAGTATATTCCATTCCATCCCTATTCATTCCTATCCATCTAATAGTAGTAAGTAATGTATCACGGCATTCATGGGTAAATAAATGCCTAAGCAGACTGCCAAGCAGTAAAGAGAAAAAAGACGACCTGCACGGTCAGTCAACACATCATCCGTGGCGAGAGCACACCCCCGGCCCGTAACGCAAGACGAAAGTACAATCCGGCCTTGAGTTGCTGTCAACGGCTGTCTTCGGGTCACAGCTTCAAAGGCCCCGGTGAAAGATATCAGAATAACAGTTTAAAAAAAGACACATGAAAGTGGAATCGAGATGGCCAACATACCATTAGTGCAACAAAGACTGCGAGCGCAACTGTGTCATTACAGCTTTGGATGGGGGGAGCCACTGGCCATTTGAAGGCGAAAAGAGACATAGCATAGAAACAGCGAAGAATAGAAAGCAAAGGTCAAATAAGAAACCATTTCCGCAACTGATAAATTCAAATGGCTCCTCCAACGCCGTCCCATTGTTAAAGCCGGGTATATCCAGCACCGTGATGCAAAAATGTACGGAGAAATGATAGGGTCTCGAGGGACGGTCAGACACATCGAATCCGACATGACGGGCCCCGTTCAGGAAGCCCTTACCGGTCCCTCGCCTTTAAAAGAGAATTTTCGAAACGATGCATGTGAAGCAGAGAGGGAACAAAAGAAAAAAAAATTGCGAACAAGCCAATGGTGCTTTTGTTGCCATCCGACAAGCTTGCTGCTGTGTCGCTCGCTGCTGCTGCCCGTTTTATCTGGCCCCAATCCCAAACATACCTACCCCGTAACTTCCACCGCGGTCAGGCAGAGGGGTAGATATCTTCGAAACGTGGTCCTTTATGCAGTGAAGAGAAAAGCAATCAGTATGTCAGAAGCCCGAAGCACCATCATCATCCGAAGGCCCTACCTTCTTCCGTTTCTTCTTTCCTATGCCATCACTAGCCGAGTAAAATGCACCGTCGTCATCGTCATCTGCGTAGCCTTCGCCGTAACCGACAAAGCTATTGTCGTCGTAGTGCCGTTTGCGCCCCCGACTGGGTCGACTCCGTTCCGCGTCTGAGACACCCGGCCCAGGAGTCCCATTCGCTTGCATTCGAGCTCCATTCGGAGGTGCAACAGCCTTCTTGCCAATATCACCGCCGCCGCCAGCATGCTTAGACGGTTTTTCGTGACCCAAAACATCTTCCCATTGTTCGCTATTGGGGACCGCACCGGGCTCCATTTTCATAGCCTTCAATTGGAGCGTGTGCAACGCAGAGTCCATATCAGCCACCTTGATCTCCTTGCCAAACACCTTCTGGTTCTGCCATTCCTCTTCGGGCCACATCGTCATCTGTATCAGTCCACCGGGTGCGCCAGGCTCATGCTTCACAGGCTTATTCCGGCCCGCAAGTCCCAGCCCCTTGAGCTTGCCTTCGTAGGACTTCCGCAGCCGATTAATCTTCTCTCCTGTCACCGGATCCATTCGGGCGACGGATTTTGCAACGGGCCCTAGCCCGTACAAGGAAATCAAATCCAGGGACGGATCCGGACCAGTCGCAGTGTAGGCTGTGGAATTCATGAAAGCCACTTGTGTTAACCAATTTCAATTCTCAACGATGAACGATTGCAGGGACAAATGGCATTATGAACTGCAGCGGCAACAGCCTGATTAGGGACTGGGCTGGGGGAGACTCTTACAGCTTTTGCAGAGATGAAATGCCGAGGAAAAATCGTGTTGCAACGACTCAAGGCTCATACTACCATCAGACGAGCCTGGCACCACCTCTCTGTCAATGTCCATCGCATCACCGTGAACGGGTAATCCTGTGGCAGCATGATCACGGACTGCGCCCTCCGAATCTCCTCCTGGCTGCCGGTCGTGATCTGTCCGTCTGTGTTCAGCCCCTTGGGCGGTCGCAAACGCGCCACCAGCAGGGACTACGCCTCCTTCTGAGGGTCCCGACCCCATTGACTTAGCTGGAGCATCGGGTTCGTCAAACGAGGTCGTGCCGGGTATATGTCCGCTCACGCTGCTGGCGGGGGTAGGGAACGAGTTTGCCGACCCGCCTACCACCGGCTGTTGTGACGGCTGGGTAGACATCGGAGCAGAGGACGGAGGGGATGAAAGACTGGTGGGTTGTGAGGTCGCCTGGCTAGGTGAGGTTTGCGAGGGTACGAAGTGGGTGGCATAATTATGAGCGCTTACCGACATCAACGGAGGTGATGTCGGGGTCTGAGGAATCTGATCGGAGGAGATCGTTGGAAGTTGTGGAGTCTCCTTGAGAGACTCGGGAGCGGGAGATGCTGGTGAAGGAGGTCCTACTCGAAATGATGCCGAGGAGGCGCGATCCGACATGGGAGTGCGGGAAGAGAAGGGTGAGAGAAGGAGGAGGTCGGCCAAAGCCCGAGCAGCCCGCGGCTCGAAATCGGCTGATGTAGGTATATATCGACGGCGATAATCGGAACTCAGAGTCTGATTTCGGTGGATCTAAGGTCGACCGTCCAGGGTGGAGGACAGAGGAGGGGGAGAGGGGGGAGGTTGGCAGATTACGCCGGTCGAGGTGCGCTCAAGCGGGCCGAGCAGGACGTTCCACGACCGTCTAGTAGTCACGCATTCCAATGAATCGAGGAGAACCGTGGTGATGGTGGACGAGAAGCGAACTCCACGAATAAAAGCAGTGGTCAAGCGTATGATGGGAGAGGCGGTTTTGGTGGTGTGTTGATATGCGGTGGTGAAAACAGTCGGGGGGGGGGGTGGGTGAAATGAAGAAAGGCGATGGGGGAAGGGAAGAAGCCCTTTGATCCGCAAATGGAGAAACGGACGGCGAGATGTTGAATGACGGCGGGCACGTGATCTGCGCCCTCATTTTCTCGACTGCTGCGACTCCGTAAGTTACCAAGTTACCATACTAACCTGAAGTTACTGATCAGGGCTGCAACTGGAACTGCAGCAGTTCTTTCCTTTCAGGCGTATTTCCGCGGCACTAGTAACGTCTAGACGCCCAGAACCCGTACTGCGCCGGTACTGGTACCGGTACTAATACCCAGCCG